GGCAGACACTTAACTGACTGAGCCACCCAGGCACCCCTGTTATGGCCTCTTTTCATCTTAGTTACTTCTCAAGGTCCTGGCTCCAACAGGTTAGGGCTTTAGCGTATGAATTCAGGAGGGAAGCAGTTCAGCCCATGGTGGACCTCAGGTGTTTGTTGAGTATGTACTATGGGCTGGACACTGGTCTAGGGGCTGGACATAGAGCAAAGTAGACAGTGGGTAGGCGGAAAACTCTATCTGTATCTAAGTATCCATAGATTTTATATATACGGATCTGTAAGTCATAAGATGTAGATACATGCAGATACGTATACCCTTGCAAGTGCAGTGAAACGTGCCTTGAAGAAAAATAAAGCATGCGAAGGGAGCAGAGGATACCAGGGGTGGGGCACTGTTTTAAAGGGTGATCAGGAAAGATCTCTAATGCTGTGCCGTTTAAGCAGATGGGGACATAAGTGAAACAACCTAAGCAGTCAGCCCCTGGAGGTCAATTCGTTGGCTCAAGAGCCTGCAGTCTGAGGTGCCTGGGTGGCTTAGTGGGTTAAAGCCTCTGCCTTCAGCTCAGGTCATGATCCCAGGGTCCTGGGATCGAGTCCCGCATCGGGCTCCCCACTCCGTGGAGAGTCGGCTTCTCCCTCTACCCCCCCTCCTGCTTGTGATCTCTCAGTCTCTCATCCTCTCTCAAATAAACAAATAAAATCTTTAAAAAAAAAAAAAAAAGAAGAAGAACAAATGAGTGTCACCGTGTGCCAATAAAACTTTATTTACGGACACTGAAATTTGAACTTCCTGTATCTTGTATATGTCTTGAAACATCAGTCTGCTTTTGATACCTTTATTCGTCAGGCAAAGAATGAAGAAACCATCCTTAGCTTCTGGGATGTGTGAAAACAGGCAGTGGTCGAGCTTTGGCCCACGGGCTGCAGTTTGCAGAACCCTGCACGCAGCTGGACGAGGCTTCCCCTGTTGTGGGATGAGAGTGGGGACCATGGTAGGACCAAGAACATGAGTCCCTGGCACATAGCAGGTGCTCAACAGGTTATTTGTTGAAGGGAGGGAGGAGAGAAGGGAGGAGAGAAGGGCGGAGAGGGCAGAGGGAAAGGGTGTCAGGGTGCCTACAAAGCTGAATTCCGGGCTCAGGGCTCTGGGCTTATAGGACCTCGCCTCGCTCTCTCCTCTTGGGCAGCAAGACCATTGCCGTCCATTTCTTCAGGGCCCGTGCAGCCTCCAGAAGCAAAGAGGTTTTGCCAGAGCCTTTGAAATGCCCACAAGCTCAGAGCCTCCTGGCCCCATTTAGGACCAAACATCCCAGGCAACCCTCCCACAGAGCCCACGGAGATCTAGCCATACCTCCTGCCACCTGAAAAGCTTCCACTGGCCACCGCAGACACAAATCTAGAAAAAGACATGTGTAGCTGCTGCCCAAAGCCCACTTGTGCCCTGTCCACAGCTTAATAACTCACAAGTGCCCTAATCTGCATTTTTAGTGAGAACATTTCCGTCCCCACTCAGAAAAGTCATTTGCATCCCCCATGCAGTGCCCCTGACTGCTATATTAATCTCCCCATTTGTCCCCTCCTGAGTCATCTAATATTACTGCTGGCTAATTAAAACATCAAAGCCCCAAGTACAACAGCCCTGCCAGGGGCCTCCTAATGCCTGGTTTCAAGTGTGCAGCTCAGCACAGCCCAGGGTGGAAAGGTACGGCTCACGCCCAGGTCCCCAGTTTCTCGGCTTGTAGTGACCACCCCTCGCACATCTGGAACCTCAGCAGACGGCCTCTTTCCCAATGCCGGTTACGTCACTCCTGCCGCACCCTTTCAACCTGCTGGCTGCCCACCCACCGGCCGCACCCCACACCTCCTCCCCCCGCCTCCCTGTGCTCCCCACCTGTCTGCCCTCCCACCCCCTGCACGGGTCCTGGGCCCGACCCCAGCGCTAGCACTGCATCTGATACCCACCCCGACCCCGGTCTGGGATTCCAGCCACTCCCCAGCCCCTGGGGCAGCCATGGGGATGGTCAAGAGAGTTTGCAAACTGGCTGGGTGATGCTCAGTCTTCAGGGAGGACAGCTGGGGTGCCTCCCACTTGGGTGAGGTCCAGTTTTTTTTGGGGGGGGGTTCTACTGGCTGCAGGCTCTTGGCATGGTCAGAGGAATTAGTCGCTACCAAGTCCTGCCCAGAGATGTGACTTCCATCACCTGCGTATCGGCTGGAGGAGACCATAGTGGAGACAGAGCTTAAAGAAGCCCTAGGGCTGTCTGGCCAGGCTTTCAAAGGAAGTGGAGCTGTCCATGCGGCTTCACGAGGGGACAGAAGGAAAATAGCTTGGAGCTTAGCAGGCAGGAAGTACAAATGAGAGCGAAGGGAAGAATTCTTCCGCATCCTTCTTCTGCTCCTGGTGTGATCAGACTAGTCACACTTGTGGCGATGGTCACACTGATAGGACTAACAGGTGTACTGTAGATGACTATATAGATTATAGTGCTCTAGGGGCACCGGGGTGGCTCGGTGGGTTAAAGCCTCTGCCTTCAGCTCAGGTCATGATCCCAGCGTCCTGGGATCGAGCCCCACATCGGGCTCTCTGCACAGCAGGGAGCTTGCTTTCCGCCCTCTCCCTCTCTGTCTACTTGTGATCTCTGTCTGTCAAATAAATAAATAAAATCTTAAAAAAAAAAAAAAAGATTATAGTGCCCTAGTCTACTGGCATGGATTAGAATGCCAGTAGCGGTATGCAGTGGCCAGCATTCAGGAGGTGATTGCGTTCATCCAAGTGAAATATGATGCTGGTCTGGCCAGGGAGAACAAGATCGAGAACAAGGAAGAGGTGGATTCTAGAGCTATTGTGAAGCTAAAATGGTCAGGCTTGGGGATGGATCAGGTGCAGGGGATAAAGAGAATGATGTCCAGGATAGCTCCCACCTGTGACTTGCACAGGCGGATGGATGGTGAGGCCCAGCACTGAGATGGGAACCACTGGGGGTTACTGGATCTGGCCACCACAGGAAGTCATGGCACCTCCCATGTGTTCTCTGCTATCACTTGCACGGTTCTGGAGGCTGTGATTTGCTCTCATCTCAGGACCTTTGCATAGGCAGGTCTTTTGGCCTGCAAGACCTAGCTCTTCTCTCTTTGCCTGATTAACACCTATTTGCCCTTCAGGTCTTGACTTAAGAGTCAGATACCCTGGGTGAGGTGCCTCTCCTGTGTGCTTCCACAGTCCCTTATACACTGCCAACATCCCACGTTATAGTACCCATTGCACTTGGTTATAATGACCGTGACAACTGTCGTCCCTACCCCCACCCCGCAATGTACATTGTACTCCCTGAGGACAGAGATCACCTCTGTCTGGTTTGTCACTGTAGCCCTGGCCCTTGCAACCTTGCGTAGAACATAGGAGATACTCAATAAACTCATGCTGAATGAATGAATGAACAAATGAATGAATGAATTATGCATAATGACCAAGAGGCCAAGAGGCAGGAGAGTCTAGCAGTTGAGGACATGGTTTGCAGGGCAGACTGCCAGGATTTGATGCCTGGCTCCAGTGTACTAGCTGTGTGACCTCGAACAACCTAGTTAACCTCTCTGTGCCTCAGTTTCCTCATCTGTAAAACGGGCATGATAAGATTTTGCTTGACATAATAAGTGCTTCTTGAATGCCAGTTTTCAGTATTAGCCCTTCAGTGTAGTCTATGATTTCTTTCCTGGACTCAGCCCACTAAATGGTAATTCATAGCTTCCTCACCCACCTGAGTTCTCCCAAGCCAAAAAAATGAGGACCCATCTCCTGGCGCTAACCACACTCCTACACTCCAGCCACACTAGCCTTCTTGCTGATCCTTTGAAGCGTATCCCTACCTCATGGCCTTTGCACTTGCCTTTCTCCCCTCATCATCATATATCCTTATCACTAACTGATAATCTATCATTCATGTATGGCTTTACTTAGATTTATCTCTGCTTCTCTCCCGTCACTGTGCCAGGGCACTTTCTGTCTTGTTCACTACAGTGTCCCCAGTGCCTAACAATGCCTAGCACACAGTAGGTGCTCAATAAATACCACCTGAATGTGTGAAAACCCTGCCGCAAGGTCACTGTGCAGTGCTCCGTTCTTTGGAATGAGTGTCACTCCACACTTGCTTGTCTTCCCTCTCTTGCTCAGCTGACGTGGCAGGGTGTGCCTGCTGCCTCTCCCAGTTGCTGACTGAGTGACGCTTGTCTGATGCATAGGCAGGTAGACAATTACTCAGAAACATCCAAGACTGAATGTGATCCTTATTAATGAGGTCTAAACTGGACGGGCCAACATTGGTGAACCCAGGACTTATCCCCCACCACCGACTGGGCATTTTGTATATGGAAGTGAAGACAAATGGGGGACTGAAATTGTTCAACACAGAGGGGCCTGTCAGTGCAAAGGCCCTGAGGCAGGGACTCACTTGGCATTTTTGAAAGGCAGAAACCTGAAATTTGGGTGAAATATTCTATGCTTCAAAACTTTCTCATTGAATCTTTTCTGTTTTCCTAGTACTCACTAGAAGTAGTGAGTTTGGACTATAGCAGGAAAGCCCAAACACCCAAGAAACCTGACCTGGCTTCAGGTTTGATTCCTCAGCCCTGAAAGCTGGTGCCATTCAGAGAGGCTGACAGCATCCCTTGGTTATTTCCTCATTCAACAAACATTCAGTGAGTCCCTGATTTATGCTGGGACCTGTACTGGACACCAGAGAGGCCACCTTTGAGTTCCTGGCCCCTCCCTGCAGAACAGAACCCAGAAGGCTTTTTCACAGTGCCTCCATCTGCATAGACAGAGGGACCAGGTTCCCAGCCACCTTGCATGTATCACTCTGGGAGAATGAGTCCTTACTCTGTGCAGATACTTAGTGACTCTGAAAGATGCCGGGAAAAGCGACTCTACTCCCCATCCCCGTGGAGACACTTTTCCAGTGCCCTCAGGACCCTGTCTAATGTCCCATCCTTCCTCCTCCCCTCAAGCCCCCTGCCTCGGGAAAACAGTCTCCCACAAAGAATGGCAGCCCCTCCAAGTGCCCCCGCTTCCTCAAGGTCAAGAACTGGGAGACTGACGTGGTTCTCACCGACACCCTTCACCTTAAGAGCACACTGGTGAGTATGCCAGCAGAATGTAGACCCACCTCATACTAACTGCATTTGGTGTTGGCTAAGTCTTTGTTGTGGGGACTGTCCTGTGCACTGTGGGGGGTGTAACATCACTCCTGACCTGTCCGCACAAGATGTCAGTCACCCCGCTGAAGTTCTGACAACAAAAATGTCTCCAGATATCACTCAGTGTCCCCTGGGTGGGAAATCCGCTCCCATTTGAGAACTGCTGGTAGCTACTGACTCACTCATGGCAATACTTTTTATTATTAAGTATTTTTTAGTATTAATATTATTAATACTTTATTGGGTACCTTGAACCCAAAAGAATCCAAGCGGAGGAGTTGCTCGTTCTGAACACATTTTCTCTGTCTCTCACCGCCTGACCACGGATGAAATATGGAACAAGCCCTTCCTTGCTTTCACTGTGTTTTAGCTGAACTTTTATATCATATTTTTTTTTAATAGCCAGCCAGGCAACATGTTGCTTTATACTTTTATTGAAAATGACCCTCTTGGAAGAATGTTGTATTGGTTAGCGATTGCTGTGTAACGAACATCCCCGAAACTCAGTGGCTTAAAAACAACAACCACTTATTATTTTTCAAAAGTCTGCAGATTGGCTTGGTGTTCCTGTCATCTCAATTGATCTCAAGCATCAGCAGTCCACCTGAGAGGCCAGCTGTGGGTGGGCTGGTCTGGGTGGCCTCGACTAGGATAACTCAACTCTGTTTCATGTGATCTCTCATCCTCTGACAAGCTAACTTGGCCTTGTTCCTGTGGTGGTTGCGAGGTTTTCAGAGAGAATGAGCAGAAGCCCATGAGACCTCTTGAGGCCTAGGCATGGGTGGACCCAGCCTCACCTCTGCCATTTTCTATTGGCTAAAACCAGCTCACATTCAAGGGGAGAGGATTTAGACTCCATCCCTCAATGAGAATTGCTATTAAGTCACACTGCGAAGGGTGTGACTATAGGACACAGAAGAATTGGGGCTACTTTTCTTGCAGTCAGCGTCCCACAGATGTGTTCGAGTGAGTGACTATAACATGAATCATGAACATGATTCCATGATCAACATGGAATCAAAAAAATACTTAGGTACCAATTAATCTGATTACCAGGGAGTGCCAATCAGAAAACCCCTCTTCCCCTCGTTGAGTAGAGCAAACATTTTCAGAACCTTAAAACACTGCCTATCTTCTCCTTGACTGATGACCACATCCTACAATGATTTGAGTACTTGGGAAATCCCATCTGGGAATTAAAGGTCAGGTAAACTCCACAACAAATGTCAGATCCAGGCCCACAGCCCCCCTTGTGCTAAAACCAAGAGATCCTCCAACTCTCTCTTTTCCCTCCAGGAAACAGGGTGCACCGAGCACATCTGTATGGGCTCTATCATGCTCCCTTCTCAGCAAATACGAAGGCCTGAAGACGTCCGCACGAAAGAACAGCTCTTCCCTCTCGCCAAAGAGTTCATTGATCAGTACTACTCGTCAATTAAAAGGCAAGTGTATGTTGACTCTGGGGCCCCGGGGTGAATTACCGAGTACCAGGGCAAAGACTTCAGCCGCAGCACTACAATAGCTGAACCAAGACCTAAGCATGAAGGCTCTGCCCTCCACACACACAAGTTGAAAGCTGGTGGCTCCAGGGCCACATCTGGCCCCCAGAAATGTCTTTGTTTGGCCTGCAAAGCATTGCTTAAATTTGAAGCATTTCAAGTAATTCCGTGTCTAGGCATACTACCTTAAACTCTCACACTTGTTCACCAGAAGACATACATAAAAATGTTCACTGAGATATTGTTATTAACAGGGAAAAAAAAATTAAAATCAAAGAACCAACAGGAAATCACCTCAACTCCTTCAACAGGAGACTGTGTGAGTAACTGGTGGTATTTTCCAAATCGTGGAATATTATACAGCTGCAAAAAATGAGCCAATCAGCACCCAGCATGTTCATGGGCACAAAGCTCTCAAATAACTACGTAAAAGGAAGAAAGAATAAGTTTGTAAAATAATACATTCAGGGTAGCACCCTTTATATAAACTTTTTAAACATACTGTACGTGATTTAGGGACTATTTATACATATGAAAAATATATAAAGAAAAGCGTAAGATGGGGATCCCTGGGTGGTTCAGTTGGTTGAACGACTGACTCCTGAATCAGCTCAGGTTGTGACCTCAGGGTCGTGAGATCGAGCCTCACATCAGGCTCTGCACTCAGCACAGAGTGTGGTTGGGATTCTCTCCCCCTCTGCCCCTCCCCCCACTTGAGCATGTGCACACGCACACTCTCACACCCTGAAATAGTTAAATAAATCTAAAAAAAAAAAAAGCATGAGACACTTTTGGGAAGAAAGTGGGTTATAATGGGAACATAGTCTCCAAGGAACTATAATATCGTTTCTTATTTGTTTTTACTTAGGCCTGGGTGTTCATTATATATACTATTCTCAACACTTTTTTGTAAGCCCCAAATTTTTCATAATAAAATTTTCAACTTTCTAAAATTGAATTTCTTGTCATCATTTAAAAATTAGAAGAGTTCTCTTTAAAGATCAGATTTCCAGGGGTTCCTGGGTGGCTCAGTCGCTTAAGCATCTGCCTTTGGCTCAGGTCATGACCCCCCCCAGGACCCCGGAATTGAGCCCCTCATTAGGCTCCCTGCTCAGCAGGGAGCCTGCTTCTCCCTCTCCTGCTCCCCCTGCTTGTGTTCTCTCTCTGTCAGATAAATAAATAAAATATTTAAAAATAAATCAAAAATAAATTAAATTAAATTTTTAAAAATCAGATTTCCAGGAGCACCTGGCTGGCTCAGCTGGTGAAGCACATGACTCTTGACCTTGGGGTTACAAGTTCAAGAACCACCTTGGATGTAGAGATTACTTAAAAATCAAATCTTTAAAAATAAATAAATAGATACATAAAAATAAAAATCAGATTTCTAGTTTCTCTTGAAATGAGACTTGGCCTCCCTGGGCCCCCATTCCTACCAGCAGAGTACTAGCTACCCCATTTGAACCAGACATAGGCTCGCCCGCTGGCCAAAGTCCACACCCAGCCAATTCGGTCACTGCTGGGCCTTCATGGGCATCTGAGTTCGCAGTCTGCTTGTGCTTGAACCGTTGTGTCCACATATCAGCTCAGACTTGCTGTGGCTTTTGCCCTCCTGGAATGGTTCGCTCCTTCCACCGACCCCGAATTCAGGAGAGAAGGTGACACTCCCATGTCCCTTCCTTCCTCACTCAGATTTGGCTCCAAAGCGCACACAGAGAGGCTGGAAGAGGTGAACAAAGAGATTGAAACCACGGGCACCTACCAGCTCAAAGACACGGAGCTCATCTACGGGGCAAAGCACGCCTGGCGGAACGCGTCCCGCTGCGTTGGCAGGATCCAGTGGTCCAAGCTGCAGGTAGGCAGTGAGCTCTTTGGTGGGTGGGGAGAGAGGAGCCTTACCAAGGGTCAGCTCTTTCCAGGGGTACCTGGAAGTCACAGTGAGATAGTAGGTGGTGGTCACAGGGGCCCAGATTCTCAGGTCATGACTGACTCTGCCTCATAGTCATGTCTCATTGAGCCAACACAGTGTTGTTGTTTTTTTTTTTTTTAAAGGAACTTGCACATCCATTGGTGAGGCTTATGCTCTCCACTTTACCACAGACCCTACCATTCCCTTTTGTCTTCCTCCTACTCTCTGATTTATATTCTCTGTCTACTCCCTGAAAGCATTAGATTCTGCGTCCCCTGCTAAGATTTCTACCCCGCCACCCCACGGGAATAGTCTGAAGTTGCAGGTAGTTTCGTTATCAAGACCAAAGGAGGTTTGTTTGATTGTTATTTGTTTTGTTTTTAAATCCCTGATCCCTAGTAACTCAGCAGGAAATATATCCAGCCCACCCAAGTCTCTCCTTTACTCACCATCCTGTAGCCACCTGTACCTACACACCATGCCTACTTTCAGGGGTTTTTTCCTGGTTTGATTGACTGTGGTTATTAGGATAGAGAAACACACACACACACACACTATAAAACCCAGCCCAGGTCTCATTAGCGGAGTGCTCGCTTTCCAAGTGGGGCAGCAGGTGGAGTGGGCTCTGGGTTCTCCTCGGCTCCCCTGGGGGAGCGGAGAAAGGAGGGAGGAGGCACCCGTTCTCACCACGTGCCCCTGGCAGGTGTTTGATGCCCGCGACTGCACCACGGCCCACGGGATGTTCAACTACATCTGCAACCACATCAAGTATGCCACCAACAAAGGGAACCTCAGGTGAGCCTGCCGGCTTGTGGGAGGGGCGTCTGATGTCCCCAAAGCATTGACCCTTGGGTCTGGAGTTGGCTCGCCTGCCGAGGAAATGCTCCCCCTCTCCTCTCGGGGAGAGGTGCCCAGCTGAGAGAGGTGTCCTGGCTGCTTTGTCCCACCTGCCATATTCTGTCTCTTGGGACTCTTGCATGAGTTGCAAAGCTGCAGCGGCCAAAATCACGTTCAACCCACAGTTCGGTATCAACCCCGTGGAAAGGGCAGGAAGGGGTGTTTCCCATTCCCAGGACTCGGAAAATCCCAGTGCCAGTGGTGACCTGCTTGTACCAGCTCCTGCTGTAGCCTGGAGCTGTCTTAGAATGTTCCTGGATTTAAAAGACAATGTCTTTTCCTGTCGCTGTGGGCATGGCTCCTTCAGGTTCCACCAAGCCTAGCCACACCTTGCGCTCCTCTCGCCCCAAACAAAGAACAAAGGCCCGGGCAACAGGCTCAGGCAGGGAGGCTCCAGTGTGGGCTGGTGGCTTCCGCGCTGGCAAGTTGCTGCTGGAAGGGAACGGCTGGGGCCCTGCAGCTGGCCAGTTCTACTTGTCAGGCCTCTGCCCTCGGTTCTGGCCCAGGGTCTGGTCCCAGCTACTGAGGAGCAGCCCTGTGGTGGGTCCCTGCGTGCCACTGTAGGGAGAGTCCCTGAAAGGAGATGCAGATTCCCTGCACTGAACTCATCCCCATAGGTGATTTGCTTGCATTAAGCATGGGTTTTCCTGGCCATGTCCCTTCCTTGAGAAGGAAACGCCGTTCCAGCTGAGCCCACCAGGAGGGAAGAAGGAGCCTGTAATAGAAGCCCAGAGCCTGCTTGGGGAATTGGTCTTTCGATCTTTTCCCAAAAGACCTCAAAGCTCGGAGAACATCAAAGAACCATCCTCTATATCCTGAGTGTCAAAGGAGAGCCCAGTGAGGTCTCAGCCCTCCAGGAGCTTAGGGGCTGTTCTGGTAGTTTCTAAATGGTACTATTACAAAGCAATATTGGGTGGGGTGGGGGGGTCACCGAAAACCAGACAGTGCACCTCCCCGATTTTTTAGTTATTAATTTTGGGGCTTCTTGAGATCTTCTCCTAAAGAAAATATTCAACTGATTCTCTCTCTCTCTCTCTCTCTCTTTTTTTTTTTTTTTGACAACCACATATCTGGACATGATAGGAAGGCCAGCAGAGAATGTATACCATATACAGAAATAATCTAGCCATAACAGAAGAAGGCAGGCAAAGGAGAAGAAGGGAGGGAGAGGGAAATGTAAGGCATTCAATCTCCCGTTCAGTGAAATTATGTTTAGGAGACATAAATGGGTTCTGTTTCTCCTGTTGGTCTCAGTTCCCGCACACAGAGTAAGCATTCCACCCGCTGAGTGTGATTCTGGTGTTTCTAAACACGCTTTTTAAATATATATGTTACACAAACACCCTTTATCTGGTGCTCAACCAAAGAAACAGCAGTGTGTTTTACTGCTGAAGGGAACGCTGTCAGTTTGACTCATTCTGTGTTCATCTCCAATATGGCGCCTTTGCTGGGAGGCTGTTGAGAGCACTCTTGGCTCCGTGGGACTCCTACCTTCAGCCCTCGTTCTAGACTCATCCCCACCTGGTGCAATGCACCTTCCCTGCAGTATTAAATGAAACACAGTCTTAGGCACACGGTAAGACCCACAGGTACTCAGAAAGGAGGTGGCCCTGGGAACAGATAAGACAGGATGCTTTGTAGAGGAAGTGAATCTGAGTCTGGCCTTGAATTTGGGCACATGATAGCAGAGAAGGGTTCCTGCCAACATGGGCAGCAGGGCCACGTTCCAGTGGCAGAATGTGTAGAGGAGGAGATCTCCAAGCAATGGGCTGGACCTGCTCCGTGATCCTCATATGGGCACAAGCCAGGGTGGCGGCTCCCCTAGCCTGGGATTGAGTCCGCAGATGGCGCTGATGAGCCGGGGTGGCCGAGCTCCTGGGATGAGTTCGCACTGAACCACGTTGTGAAGAAGTCATTCTCCTTTCTATTGTTTTCAATCCCTCTGATGATGCTAAAGAGGAAGTCTCAGTTTGGTGAGGAGACATCCATAACACCTCTCTAACTCTGCTGATCTCCCCATCAGAGGTGCTCCCTAGAGCACAACACCTTCCTGCAATGTAATAATGGTATATGGTCTCCTAGCTGCCTGTTTAGGTAGGTGAGGCCAGTGGCGATCTCCAGTTTTCGTTTAAAGCAAATAAATGTGAGTGCAGGGGAAACACTAGGGGTTCTTCTTAGCTGTAAGTGTGTAGACTTCCCAACGGTACTGGGGGTGGGCGGGTGGGGCGAGAAGTTAAGGATGGAGATAAGAGCAAGACTGGAACTGGGAATCAGTGGTGGGCTCTTAGAGGGAAGGAGGATCCCACATTGTTTCCCTGGAGATCACCTGCTGCCAAAGACCCCTGGGAAACTAGCCCGCGTCAAGAGTGTTTGAGTCTCCAATTAGGGCAGCAATCTTTGCTTTTCGGTGGGCTGGCGTGGGACCTCCCATCCTCCACCCTGCCTCAGACCAGTGCTCCTGTAGAGGGACAGGACATAGTCCCTCCCTTCCAACAGTAGCTCCGTGGTCCCTTGGGGACCTTGGCACAGAGGTCATCCGTCCTGAGCCTCACGCACTGGGTGACACCCTTTCCAGTAAGTCCGTGAGGTGCAAGCCCCGCCCTGACAGCACACGTCCCCCTCTCTCTGCCCCAGGTCTGCCATCACCATATTTCCGCAGAGGACCGACGGCAAGCACGATTTCCGGGTCTGGAACTCTCAGCTCATCCGCTATGCTGGCTACAAGCAGCCCGATGGCTCTATCCTAGGGGACCCAGCCAATGTGGAATTCACAGAGGTATGTGCCCCCGTGGCCCCCTCCTGGGCTCTGAATCCCCCAAACTGGCTTCATCCACAGCCTTTTCTTACTTTAATGTTATCGTCATAGGGAAAGCGGCCAGTGGGGTACCACTGACTCCTCTCCAGACCTCCTGCTCCTTTTGGCTGCCCCTACTCCGTCTGGTGCCCTTCCAGCTGGCCATTTGGTCATTTTCATCCATTACCTCCCCCAGCTCTCATGATAGGAACTGTTGTCCCACTTCCCAGATGACTAGACTGAGTCTCACCATAGCCCAGTGACTTACCCAAAGCCACCAAATGAGCACAGAGAAGGCTGGACGTGCAGTCCACATCTGCCTCCCAGGAGCCAGAGAAGAGCTGACACGTATACCGTTTCTGAGCTGGGTAATACATCAGACTCATCCGTTTACCCGGGTCTAGCTACCCAGCCCTTCTTTGGATGGGCTTGTCTCTGCATCGTGCCAAGACGACCCCAGTTTCTGGTGGCCCAAGTCAGTTCATAAAAGCCGACAGGAAAACGAACACCAGCATCTCCCCATCTATGGGGCTGCAGACAGGTATGAAGGGAATGCACGGGAGCTTCCAGCGCCTGTGCCCGTAGGAGACACCGCAGGCAGACCCATGCTGAGAATGAGCTCGGGCACACGGCCCGGCTCCCCTTATTTATCACCCACTCATCCCCAGTTGAAGTTCATCTCTGTTCTTTCCTCAAACACCACCCCTCAGGACAGAGCTGGCAAGATCAAACGCTTCTCCAGTCCCTCATGACAGCTGACTTCGTTTGCATGTGGCTTTTCTTATTAAAATACTATTATGGAGGAGAAGGGGCTGTAACCAGGGCGACCAGGAGTTGCACCTGTGCCGATTCCGACTCAGCCAGACTCTCGGCTCCACTTGGCTGAGCGCTAACTGCAAAGTTGGCTGACCTTGTCCTCCTGGCCACCGGAACAGAAACGCCACAGCGTCTTCTTCCCCTTCTGTCTCCAGAAACCTTGCTGACAGCTCGTGTTCTCTTAAGCCCCTGATTTCGTGCTTCCTCTTTCTACGGACACTGCAGACAGAAACACCCACTCTCCCTGTGCTGTCCAGTGGGGCAGCCCCTGGCCACGTGTGGCTGGTGAGCCCCGGAAAAATCCAAATTGAGGTGTGTCGTAAGTGTAACACACACACCAGAGTTCGAAGACTGAGAACAAGACAGAGAGTGGAAAATAGCTCATTAATAATTTTCATCTTGATTACATATTGAAATAATATTGTAGATAATTTTAGACTATTATAGTTATTAAAAATTAATATACCGATTGAATTAATAAATGTATTGACATTTGTTAAATGTCTTTTATTATAGTAATATGAATAATGTGTTTAAGAATTTCTCATGACATTAATGATGATTAATACATTTAATTGTATGTTATATATATTTGATATATTTATCAGATAACTATATTACATATTTAACTTAAATGTTAAATATATTATTAGAATATATTGCTATCGGTACTTTATTTAATATAATATTGATAAGTTAATACCGATATAATAAATATTATAATTATGATGATCATTAATAATCAAATATTATTGAAATTAAAATATATTATTTAAATGAGCCTATTATTTAAATTATTTCACTTGCTTTATATTTGGGCTCTTTTTTTACTTTTTCAAATGTAGCTACTAAAGGGGAGCCTGGGTAGCTCAGTCGGTTAAGTGTCTGCTTTCGGCTCAGGTCATGAGGGATTGAGCCCCATATCAGGCTCCCTGACCAGCAGGGAGTCTGCTTCTCCCACTCACTCTTCCTCTCTCTCTCTCAAATAAATAAAATCTTATTTAAAAATTAAAATTTAAGGGGCACCTCAGTGGCTCAGTCCTTAGGCATCTGCCTTCAGTTCGGGTCGTGGTCCCAGGGTCCTGGGATCGGGCCCTGCATCAGGGTCCCTGCTCAGTGGGAAGCTCTCCCACTCCCCCTGCTTGTGTTCCCTCTCAGACTCTGTCTCTCTCTGTCAAGTAAATAAATAAAATCTTTTTAAACAATTAAAATTAAAATTAAAAAATTTAAAATTTAAATTAAATTACATGTAGCTACTAAAAAATTTTCAATTACGTATGTGGCTTGCTTTATATTTCTATTCAACATCTGCTCTAACAGATGCATTTATGCACAAATTCTAATCATTCTGCCCTCATCAAATGTGGTAGGTTCTCTATCTCAGGGTACCCGATGCACGCAGTTCCAGAGTGAGTACCTAGGACGTGCCAGACCCTGGGCTCGAGGGTGGTGTAGATAAGTCAGATTCCATTCTTGCCGTCCGGGAGTCCCCGGTGGGCAAGAACAACGTGGCCCAGAGCCTCCAGAGGAAAGTGCCGCTGTCCGGCTTGCACTGGGATCTCTGCGCCTCCTCCCCCTGCCGCTGTGGCTGGGGGGCCTGGGGTACAGTAGCAGTGGAGGTGGTGTGACCTGGCCACTTCTGGTTACAGATCTGCATCCAGCAGGGCTGGAAACCCCCAAGGGGCCGCTTTGACGTCCTGCCACTCCTGCTCCAGGCCAACGGCAATGACCCCGAGTTGTTCCAGATTCCCCCAGAGCTGGTGTTGGAAGTGCCTATCAGGCACCCCAAGTAAGAGGAACTGGCAGGGGGAGGGGGGGAGGGGGGGATTCACCCAGTGCCCCTCTCTGCCTCTCCCTAACCCCCAACTCTCCCTCTAGCCCAGACAGAGGCAGAAAGGGGGTCTTGGTTCCTTGCTCACAGTGGATTCCCCCAAGCAGTAAGTCCTCCTTGACCAGCCAGGGGATGACCATCTCTTCTGAACCATAATCTCCCTCCTCACCCCACTCCTATGCAGTCAACCGGGACCTGCCCTTCTCCAGCCTTTTTCCAGCTTTCCAGAAAGCCAGAAGCACCTCCTGTCTTGTTGTGGGCACTCATTTTAAATAGAGCTGTTTAAAACTATGTGACCTGACGTGAGTCAAGTCCAGAAGGAATTTGGAGCCAGGAAGGAACTGTAAGAGCCGGGCCAGCAGCATGAATGGAATTCACACTTTGAGAGTGAAGGAAATCCATAGTGAGACCCTAACCTTGGAGGCAAAATGGGGGTGGGGAGGGCAAAAAGCTCAATAATCCAAATATTATTTAATGCAATCTTTTTATAAAAATTAATTTTTGTATCAAAAAATTTATCAAACTTTAATTTTAAAATGTTTATGTGAAAATTTTAAGTAAAGACGGGATCCAGTTCAGGGCTGAAATTCAGGTAAAGCAAGCAAGGTGAGCCATGCATGTGCAAGGTGAGACCTGTCTAATTTAAAGTTTTGATGGTTTGTTGTGGATTTTTGGGGGGGGGCACTGATTTTGTTTGGAAAACATGGAGTTAATTTAGAATATAATGAAAAAAAAAAATAGTACTGGTCTTGATTACTGGGTTTGTTAGAGCCCTCTTAAATTTTGCACCCAAGGCTAGAGCCTTAATGACTTCACCCTTGTCCCATCCCTGGAGAGGGAGCACATTTCCTGAGGCTCCTGACACTGCCCAGTATCTGGGAACTCACCCAATCTTCCCGGTGAAACCTGGCCTACATTCATCAATGCATTCCATCAACATGGTTTATGAATCCTGCTCTGGGCCAGGCATTGTGCAACCCTTCATAGCTGAGTTGGTCGCTGCCTCCATGGTGTTCTCCATCCCAAGAAGGATAACTTACACATACTCTTACCTAAATAAATATTTAATTCTAATAAAGTGCTACAAAAGAAATTTTATGATCCCCAGAGGCATCAATCCACCTGACCCAGCCTAAACTGAGCATCAGGGAGGGCTTCCAGAGTAAGCAATATTTTAGCTGAGAATTAAAGGTTAGGTAAGGGCTGGGCAGACACAGAAGGAAGAGAAAGGATCCAAGGAGGAAGGACATGCCATGCAAAGGCCCTGGGGTAGGAAGGAATTTGGCAAGACTCCCTTCCTCCTGGATTAGCTTTCAGAATGGGTTCGGGAGATCAATGGCAGCCCAGTGCAGTGGCTCCCAGGCTTGCATGTTCCTCCACATCACCTGGGAGACACATTAAAAATGTGTATCATTGGGCCTGGCTGTGGAGCCTGTGATCCTCCCAGTCTGAAATGGAGCCCAGGGTTCAGGGGCTGACCCTGCGAGGCCCAGGAGGCTGCTGGCATTTCCACATCCCTGGACTCCGACTGACCCATCCACGCGTCTGCCTGAGAGTCTCCTGCCCCGTGGTGACCTGGGCCGTGTCGCTGTTCGCAGGTTTGAGTGGTTCAAGGATCTGGGCCTGAAGTGGTATGGCCTCCCCGCTGTGTCCAACATGCTGCTGGAGATTGGCGGCCTGGAGTTCAGCGCCTGCCCCTTCAGCGGCTGGTACATGGGCACAGAGATCGGCGTCCGCGACTACTGTGACAACTCTCGATACAACATCCTGGAGGTGAGGTCCCTCCCTGGCCATCACAATGGGCAGGCAGGAGGCAGAGGGGGCGGGCCCAGTGCTCCGTCCCCACGTCCGAGCTTTGGGTCTTGGAAACCCGAAGAGGTTAGAACAGAGGCTGCACCACAGGTGAAGCCCCCGGTAATCCCAGATCGTCTGCGGCAAGAACAGCACAGGGACTGTGAGCTAGGCACTGTGCCAAGCACTGTGTATCACCTCTGTGTCTGATAATCCCCATTTCACAGATGAGGAAGCTGAGGCCTTTCAGAGGTTAGAGGACAAGCTCAAGGTCACCCAGCTAGCCAGTGGCAGAGTGGGGATGAGAACTCGGTCTGACTTATGGTCCAAGTTCCTAACCATCCGGCTTACACAGCCTTTTATTAGAATGGTTTGAAAATGACCCATGAACTCGGGATGTATCTTGCCTCTTTCCTGAAAAACAAGGGAGGAGGATTGGCAGTGGTGTGTCAGCATATGCACATCTCTGTGGAGGGTCTGATTCCCTCCTTGGCTGAGTCATCCTCATCTACTAAGGGCTGCCAGGGTAGCGTCTGGAGCTCAAATCTGGCAGATGCCTCAGGATAGCTGTGGTTTTGCCAGCAACTGTTATTCCTAACAACTGTCTGCCATGGCCGGCGGCGTTTCAAAGGAGGCAAGAGAAACAGAGAAGTTAAGCACTGTGGCTTATGTCACACAGTAAATAAGGCAAGACTGGAACTCATAATCAAGCATTAGGTTTCTGTTGTTAAAATCTATGGTGTGGGGCGCCTGGGTGGCTCAAGTCGGTTAAGTGTCTGCCTTCAGCTCAGGTCATGATCCCAGGGTGCTGGGATCGAGCCCCGCATCAGGCTCCCTGCTTAGTGGGGCATCTGCTTCTCCCTCTCCCTCTGCCGCTCCCCCTGCCTGTGACTGTTCTCTCTCTCTCTCTCTAATAAATAAGTAAAATCTTTAGAAATAATAACAAAATAAAGTCCATGGGTATTCACGTGCATAACCTTGAAGACGTTGTGCCAAGTGAGATAAGTCAGGCAGAGAAAGACAGATGCTTTGCGATATCTCTTCTATGTGGAATCTAAAAAAGCCAAATTCATAAAGAGAGAACAGAATGCTGGTTACCAGGGGCTGGTGGGTGGGGGAGTTAGGGAGTGATGTTTCAGGGTGCAAACTTGCAGCAGAAAGATAAATAAGTTCTGGAAATCTAATGCAGAGAAGAGTAATTATAGTCAACAATACTGAATTACAAATTTCAAAGTTGCTAAGAGACTGGGTCTTAATTGTTCCCAACACAGAAAAAGAAATAATAATTATGTGACATGATAGAGGTGTTAACTAACAGTGGTAATCATATTGCACTATGTAAATGTATCAAACCAGCACCTTAAGTCTGTATACCTAAAACTCACACCAATGTTATATGCCCACGATGTCTCAATTTTTTTAAAAATCCCATGGGTATTAGCTTGAAAACGGAAGCCAGGGGTCCTCAGCCTTGCCACACACTGGAATTACCTAGGGGACTATATTATGCCTGAGTCCCACTCACCGGGATTTAGATATAATTGCTCAGGGATAGAGCCTCAATACCAGCATTTTTCAAAGCTCCCTAGAAGATTCTACTGGGCAGCCACTGATCTCTGCAAACTTACAGCAGGAAAGGAAAAGACGTTTTAGGCAATTTCCATAGATGTGGCTCCAATCACATCTGGGGTTTGTTTTTTTTTTTTTATCATAGAGTCTTTTTTTTTTTTTTTCCCTGCAACTGCTTTCCATTCTTGTAACCACAGTAATGGTGGGGAAGTTACAATGGCAACATCATGGCCACAGACACTTTGCTCTCTCATAAGATAACTCAAGTTTTGTATGTATTTATGGAAAGCGGAAAATTTCTTTCTTTCTGTGGACGTGTCACTGCCAAAGGACCACAGCAGACCCTAGCACCCCAGCCGCAAAGAATGGATTAGTATGAGATCTGCTTTCGTGGTCTCTGCTTACATTTCCACTGTAGGCAGTACTCCCCGAGTAACTTAAATGAGACACACTCCCACACCAGCCCTCCCAGTCCAATCTCTGTTATGTACAAATGTTGACAGCTGGGCTGGGAAGCCGTTTCCCCAAACTTGAGAAATTGTCGCCTCCTAGCCCCATAATGAGACCTGGGCTCCCACAAGTGACTAGAGTTGACAGAGGAAGGAAAAGCAAAGCTCTAATTAATGAATTTGCTGTTGGGTCCTCCTCACTCCTGACATCAGCCCCTGGTTCAGCTCGAGTTGTCAGGAGCTGGTTTGTTTCCATTGTAGCCAGTGCAGTCGGCTAGCTGGGTAGCTGCTCTCGGGTGTTGGAGGTTGGGCCCCTGCCTGGGCCCCAGCTCCAAGGCCAAATGGCTCTATGGATCTCACTGAGCCTCAGTTTCCTTATCTGTCAGATAGACTCAAGGCAGGTGTTCCCCTGAGCTCAAAGCCCCTGCAATGTGGATCCCAAGCATGGCTACTCTCCAGATATAGAGCAGGATCAGTGGAGAGCTTTTCCTTCTAGAAAGCAGATGATGTCACTTCCAGACCCACTCTTCTGCTTAAAACCCTCCAAAGACCCTCTCCATGATATCTGGAATGAAATCCTGACTCCTAGGCTTATCCCAAATCCTGCACGATCCAGTCCTGCCTCTCTCTCCCACCAACAACCCTGGCTTACTGCTCCCGCCCCTCAAATACACTGGCCTTCTTTCTATATCTCAGATGGTACAAGCCTGATCCCACCTCAGGGTCTTTGCACCTGGGCTGTTCTCTCTGCCTAGAACCTTCCCTCCGTAGACCTGCAGATATTATCTTGCTTCTTCTCATCATCTTGGTCTCACCCGATAATGCCATCTTCTGTGGAGGTGGGTCTTTCCTGAGTACCCTGGCTCAGTCTGGCCCCCTTATCCCTCTTCATCTCCCTCCCTTGTCTTATTTTCTCCCTAGGAATTAGCATTTATCACAATATTAACTGTCTCTCTCCCTCACTAGAAGGTAAGCTCAAAAATAAAATGGCCACCCAAGTCGCTCTAGCTTTCTGCTACCAGTGGGTTCTCGATAGAAAAGTCTTTTGAGTGAGTTTGCCAGCCTGGCAGTGAGTTAACTACTTGGTGAAGAAGTTCATCGGTAGCCCTGTCTCTCCTGCGGTGGCCCAGCCTGTGAGTCTGTGTTTCGTTCCTGTTTCAGGAAGTGGCCAAGAAGATGAACTTGGACATGAGGAAGACGTCCTCCCTGTGGAAGGACCAGGCGCTGGTGGAAATCAACATTGCTGTTCTCTATAGCTTCCAGGTAGTGCAGGGCACATGCCCTGGTTGGCAAGTCTCCAGGGAGCACTAAAGCCTTCCAGAGGCTTGGAACAGAAGGTCAAGAGACCTGGCTACCAGGAGGGGGGAGATCTGTTCACCAGCAAGTTCTACTTCCCAACACACATGCTTGATCTCCGTTTTGGATCTTGGGTGGAGACTGTTTGAGGAAGAGATGAATAGGTGGGGGGAGGGGCATTGGGACTTGTTGCTTATGATTTATTGGAATTGGGACGGCAGGCATCCTCTGTGTCTTGCCACCTCTTTGGGGTTCAGACTATCACATAGCATACATGAATACCCATCTTCGTTATCAGAAGCATATCGGCCCTCTGAACGTGTGGATCTGGTAGGTGGAATTACACAGGATAGCTGTAGAATTTAGTATCTAAACCGTGAGACTTTGAGAGCAAAAGGAAGATACTGCTAATAATTATGCCAGGGTGACAGGCATTAGCTGGCCTTCTCCCAGGAAGAAGTCTATAGAAGACTGTAGAACAGAGATCACTCTCTGTAATAGACACCAGCTAGCTCTGTCTCTGGGGGCTGAGAGTCTGGGAACCTAGGCTCTTCTAGTCATCCATGGAAGGCACACACAGTAGAATGAACGGATCAAGTCATGGATACATATGAATATGGACTGTGGGCCTCCATGTTAGGCATAGGGAGAATGGGCACACGCAGGAACATCCCAGGGAAGAGACAGGTTGAGTTGGCATGAGGGGGAAGGAAGTCCCCTCTTCTGTCTTAAGTGTGGAGGAGTGGGTTTTGGGGAGTCATTGAGAAGGATGGAGCGTAGTTTGGTGGGTTGGGGGCCTGGCATGAAGACCAGTGAGCCAGAGATAGGAGAGATATGAGCAGGATGAGGAATTGAGGAAGGAAGATGCAGAAAGGGGCAAGGGTTTGTGGACAGAGAGGGAAAGCGCTCTTCAGACAAGGTTCAAATCCAGACCAGCCCAAACAGCACGGGCCCCGGGGGCGGGTTACCTAGATAGGCAGTCCACCCACCTCCACCGCAATTTCTGTGTCTTAATTTTAATAAACTCCTCCTGAGTACTTAAAAATGTTTAAGAGGATTTTACATCAGCACCATAAATGTAGGGTCAGTATCAGTTGCCATAAATAGAAGGTAATTATAATATTAAGTAAATTAATAAGCAAATAAACACAAGGGAAACAATATAGAGTTGTTAAATTCTGGCTCAGTGCTGCCTGAGGTTCTTCTCTCTGGTGAAAAATGGTGGTGGGGGAGGAAGGAGAGAGGAAAACTGGCAAGAGAGGCATTAAAAATGGGTTAGCACCAAAAGGAGACTCTCCCCTGGGTACAACTGAGAGGGACGTGTGGAGAATCACTTCACACAGTCACACGTCGTCTCCAGGAACCCCCTCTGGGAAACGCTGCTCGATGGGGACGGGAGTCCCGAAATAACCCAGCTTCCTTTCCTTCCTGACTCCCCGTCCCCTCTCTTCCCACAGAGTGACAAAGTGACCATCGTTGACCACCACTCGGCCACCGAGTCCTTCATTAAGCACATGGAGAATGAATACCGCTGCCGGGGGGGCTGCCCTGCTGACTGGGTGTGGATTGTGCCCCCCATGTCCGGCAGCATCACCCCGGTCTTCCACCAGGAGATGCTCAACTACCGGCTCACCCCCTCCTTCGAATACCAGGTCCTGCCCCTCTCTGCCTCTTTGGTGCTAAATCTTCAATATTTGGGATGCATGTTCTGCTTCAAGCATGTCTGAATTCAGACTTGCTCTTTGGGCACTCAAGGGTGCCATGGCCAATGTGGCTGGCGGCTACCATATTGGCCAGCACAGCTCTAGTTCAGAGACTAATGGGGTCCTCTGGAGAATGTTTGAGAAGGATCGAGGGCTGAGTGGAAAGTCTAGATGGACAATGCAGGGAGACTGGACCAGCCACTCTGTACAAAAACCCCTATGTACACCAGCAGCAGAATCAGTCCCTTCAAGGACTGAGGGTTGGACATAGCTGGGCAACCAAAGCACCCAGGAAGTCCTGCGTGTCCCCTAAGGGGAACTAGACTTCCTCACTGCACTGACCATGGTCCTCTCTTCCCAGCCTGAGCCTTGGAACACCCATGTCTGGAAAGGTACCAATGGGACCCCCACAAAGAGGCGAGCCATCGGCTTCAAGAAACTGGCAGAGTAAGTCACCTCAAGTGGGTGGGGGATAGAAGTGCCTCCAAACTCAGAGAGTCCCAAAAGAGGAGGCTGGGCAGATGCTTGTGCCTCTGACCCCTCATGTGATGTGGCTTCTCCATCTTCTCTGACCCCCTCATGCCTTCTTTGCCTGAGGGTCTGAGATGTGGATGTTGCTTCAACTTTTTTCCTTCCCAACCTCACGTTCCTCACTTCCATGTCCTAAATTCTTGTCTGAAGGGCAGTGGCCTATTGATAAGCCAGCTCTCCAAAAAATAACAAGAGTGCTTCTAGTAATAATAATAATGATGTAGATTTGTAACATTTGCCAATTTCCATGGTATAACTACTCCTACATGGCCAATTTCAAGCTACCAACAGGAAGTCACTGAACCCAGAGGTGGGAGGAACTGGGATGAGCCAACTCAAGAGGACTCTCACCCAGGGCTGAACTCTAACATCACTTGTTCATTCATTCATTCATTCATTCATTTGGCTAAGAAATGAATACTGAGGGTCTACCTTGTGCCAGGCACTGTGCTGGTCTCCAGCGATGCCTGATGAGCCAGATCAATGTTGTTCCTGTCAAAGCTCACAGCCGTTCATTTTCCAAGAATCACACAAATACAGTAAACATTGCAAGTGCCATTGAGGGCTGATTCATGGTGCCGTGTATAGAGCTAACCGAGTTTGGGAGGTCAGAGAGGGCTTCCTTCAGAAGATGACAATTGGGCTGAAGAACGAGATGAAGAGACTTAACTGAGCGAAGGAGGGAGGGAAAGAGGTTATGGGCCAAGCCACCAAAGAGTAATAATTCCTGGAGAATGTGTGGCCAACCAAGGGACCCGCTGACTAATGAGGTGGGGGGTGACTGAGATGATCTGATGGGGAGGCCAGCATTCTCCTAAAGAAAGTGAACTCCTCAGACCCCGTCAGCACAGACCCCTGTCTGGAGTTAACCTTTTGGCAGAGAATCTGGGCATGCATTGAGTGGCTTTTCTATCAGCACCCTCTGGTCCAACACTCTCAGGGTGCAATCCCTACAGATGCCATCCATTCCATGAACCCCAGAGGCCAGGCCCTGGTGACTCCAAACCTAGGTTCTGGCTCCATTAACATGGCTCATGCCATCTCTCTCCCTCTGTCTTCCTCCCCTCTCTCTCATTCCACCTAATCCCCATCTTCCAGCCACACAAGAACACATCAGCAACCATTCTTTCTCTAACAAGAGAATCACAGATACTCTCGGGGAGGGCAGCCTTCGGCTTCACTTTAGTTCAACTGTTTCGGGAAGAAAAAGGAGGAAGAAATCTAAAACATTAATTGCACTATTAAGTGTGGGATAGAAACAATGGTAGTTAATTATAGATGCTTTTTTATGCTCCAATCATTCAAAGGGAATCCTCCAGACACCTTTTATTCTTTTCTGTTTCTCCCCCTGAGCTCGGGGTCCTCCTGTAGTGTGGGTGGTTTCCCTGATTCTCAAAAATGTATTTACCACCAATCATCCCCAGGTGGGGGTAATTAACAATTTGCCTACTCCAAGGATCCTCGTTGGACCAGGGATGCTGGCTCAGGAGGTGAGCCCAGGCCTTCCTGAGCCTCTGCCTGTCTGCCACCCCCATGCCCTCATCAACAGGAAGGAAGGAACCCAGGTTCTGAATTCTCCATTTAACTGGAAAGAGCCCAGCCTTGCTATTCAAACTCCCCAGGGCTTTGGTGGAAACAGCATCTTTAAAATTCATTTCCTCTTTCAATGGATATTTATTTAATGCCTGTTAGCTATCAGGCTCTGTGCAAGACTCTGAAGATGAAGCCTGATTTAGTCCTTCCTTCGTGGATTTATAAACCTGTAAATTCCTTCTAACTCAATACCTAGTGATTTATTAGTGATATATTCTCTCTCTCTCTCTCTCTCGCACGTGCGCGCGCGTGCGCGCGCACACACACACACACACACACACACACACACACACACACACACACACTAGAATTAAAGCTTCATGATAGCTACATGTCTATATTTTTCAGCTCATATAACTATGCCCGGCACATGAGTTAGCACCCAAGAAACATTTGATGGAATGAAAGATCATATATGGGGGCCATGCTTGGCAAACCAAGGTTCTCAAGACTGGAATTGGTCAACCAAGCAACAAACTAACAAAACTAACCAACTGTGTTAGCTCATGACTAGTTGCTCTGGAGGGTTTAATAAAGAGGTCAATATGTTGCTAGACTCGGGCTTCTAGTGTCCCTGAAACCATCAGAGATCAAGAGAGTAAGTTTTCTCCCACTACTTTTCAGGGATATTGGTTCTTGCCCAAAAGCCCCAGTCTAGCATCTTCCCTCCTTTCTACATTTCCCATTTTCCTCTCCATCCTCTTCTCCCCAGAGCCGTCAAGTTCTCAGCCAAGCTCATGGGGCAAGCAATGGCCAAGAGGGTCAAGGCGACCATCCTTTATGCCACAGAAACGGGCAAGTCACAGGCCTATGCTAAAACCTTGTGCGAGATCTTCAAACATGCCTTTGATGCCAAGGTGAGTAGGGGGTAGTGCCAGCTCCCTGGCCCTTCATGGTGAACACAGTTGGGAAGGGAAGGAGGGAGGTCAACAGAGAAGAACCTTTGAGAATGAATGAAAGCACATCTCGAGGTGCCCTTCGGCATGCACATGCATATTTGCATAAATTGCAGGGGACTTTGAGGCCCGTCTTCCCATGTCCTTCCAGGAGAGTTCAGGAATCACAAAATGAAACCCCATCTCAGAGCCAAATCTTAGAGGGTTTATGAGAAAACGTTCTGGGATGAGTTTGGAAAGCTCTGCATTAAACACAGTTCAATCTCAGAGCCTTCAATTAGCAAGTCCATACAGTTGACCCTTGTACAACATGGGGGTCGAGGTGCTGAAAATCTGCATATATCTTTCGACTCCCCCCAAACTTAACTACTAAAATAGTCTCTTGCTGACCAGAAGCCTTAATGATAACACGTTGATTAACACCTGTTTTGTATGTTGCATGTATTATATACTCTAATCTTACAGTGAAGGAACCTAGAGAAAATGTTATTAAGAAAACGAGAAGGAAGAGAAAATGCATTGACAGTACTGTACCGTATTTATTGGGAAAAACACATGTATAAGTGGACCCACGCAGTTCAAACCCATGTTGTTCAAGGTCTACTGTATTCTAATCCAAATGAAAAGGGGTTGGAATATAAGCATGTTAGTTCATGGCTCACTTATTTTCAAGGAGCCTCTCAAGGGACTGGGTTTCCCCGGAACCTACTTAGAGAAACGTTGCTCAAGACATGCTAGGATATAGGCCAATAATCTTCTTTACAACAGGAATCTCAGACTTATTTGGCCCAGGTCCCATGCTAGTGGAGGGAGGATTAGCAAGGAGTCTAAGCAGACCTGGTCAGAGCCAGCTGGGTCATTCCCAGCCTAAATGTGGTCAAGAAGATTCCAGGATCAGTTAGGCATAAGCCCAAGGATCTCAATCAAGATCTGTCTCTGTCAGCGGCCAACCCCTTCCACCATCGCTCCCAGGTTCTTTATGGTCCTTCAGGCCACTGTGACATAGAAAGGCCCCACACTGCCAAAAAAACTTCTAGTTCTACCCACTTGAGCCCATTGAAATAGTGACACCCAGAACTTTTGGTTCTTCTTCCATAGGAGATGGCTCAAGGTGACTCATCTTTTTCCTCTGTCTCTCTTCTTCTCCTTCCCCCATCACTTTTTGTTCTCTCTTACCTCTTCTCCTTGTCATGTTCTCCCTTCCTCTCCCCCCTTCCTTCATCCTCACCCTCCTAGGTGATGTCCATGGAAGAATATGACATTGTACATCTGGAACATGAAACTCTCGTCCTCGTGGTTACCAGCACTTTTGGCAATGGAGACCCCCCTGAGAATGGGGAGGTAAGATGACCTTCACCTGTTCTATCATGTTCTCCATCGGGGTGGGGGCAGGAGGAAGGGCAGCAGGTACACCTGCCAGTCAACATCAAATCCTCCCAGAGCCTTGAAAGCCCATGACTTCAATTTGGATCCAAGTTCCACAAAGATTGGACAATTCTGAGACCTCAGTCTCATGATGTCTACTGATGAGTCAATCCTCAGCGAAAATGCTCCCTCCTGAGTGAGCTGCCGTGCTTTGGAATGGATGCCCCAATCAGGACTTTGACATCCCCTGCTCCAGAGAAGAGAAGCAGGGATGGTATTTTTATAAAGAGAAAGCTACAGTGGGGATTTGTGTGCTGGGGGTAGCAGGTCCACACGTGGCGTCGTTTCATCAGCGTGTCCTTCCATGTGTACCCGCCCATGTGGAAGACACAGCTGCCCAGCCCAAACCCCTGATTGTCCCTAGCATCCTGGCCTCCAGAGGCTTCAGGCATGTGCCTGATGTGTCAGCCAAGACGCCGGACGCCCAACCCTGTTCCGGGTTTCTAAGTCCCGCTCCATGTTTCAGTCATCTCTTTTGACTTCCAGAAATTCGGCTGCGCTTTGATGGAAATGAGGCACCCCAACTCTGTGCACGAGGAAAGGAAGTAAGTGAATGACCCTCCAGGGTCGAGTCACATACTTGGGGGGATAACTGAAGATTGTCTTTTGGCATCTGGGGTTCACGTTTGAGTGCAGGCTGGTTTTTGTGACTTAAGGTCCCCTTGTGAGCAGTGTTAGCTGGTGGGTGTCTGGGGCTCACTAGGGGCTCATGTTCTGGTTCCTTGGGTGACTTTACTGCCCCATGCCTCAGTTTCTTTTTCCATCAAATAGGACTTGTTATACCTGCCTTTACTTCTTAACTTGTAAGAACCGAGGGAGAAAATAGATGTGGGTATCTTTTGAAAACTCAGAACCCCCAAGTGTAGACACTGGTTCTTATTATCTCTCCACTTTGGAAACATACATTTGAAATCAGCGAAAATGAGTTTCTTTCCCCAGAACTGTTCCATGGGATGCTCCTGGTGGAGTTCTAGCTAGTATAGAGGTTGAGTTCCGAAGATGAGATACCTCCTAAGGCAAACAAACAAAAAAACAAAAAGAAAACAACAACAACAAAAAACCGTAGCCAAAAGATGTTCGTGGTGAAATTGCGTCCCAATGCACGGTTGGGGTCTAAAGAGATTTCATAAGGTGGCCTGTAATCACGAGTACCCTTGCAAAGCTGTAAGTCCCGCATAAAGCAGAGAACATAAAGCATGTGCATGCCGAGCTCTCTTTCAAGGAGCCCAATATGGCGTCTCCTCCAGCACGGAGCAGAGCAAATGCCTTAGCTAACTGGTGTTTAGAGACCCTGGTCCACAGAAAACCTCTCCTGGTTTTCTCCTTAGCAAAGCACCTGTTTCCGAGCTCACATACGTTCCATTCCCAAGGGATAGCTGCGTCCCTCCTGCTTAGCCATCTTTGTCCTTGCTCTCCCTGCCCCTCTCCTTTCCAGGTGACCATCACAGGCTCCCCCTCACCCCTCCTTCAGGGAGAGAGAGGGCACCATCCATTCTCCCCTCTAGGTACCCGGAACCCTTGCGTTTCTTTCCCCGTAAAGGGCCTCCCCTCCCCCAAGGAGACCCAGGAGTCCGTGGTCTGGCTGCAGCCCCTGACAGCCAGCAGAGGTAGAGTGTGTGTGTGCTGTGTACATGGGCATGTGTGCCCTGTGTTCATGTATGCATGCGGTGGGGGGGGGGGTGCCCAATGCCCAAGCATCCAAGGCCACACCTTCATCTCAAGGAGCCCTGAGTCCTAACCCAGGCTGTGCCACTAACTCACCACGCAACCTTGAGCAAGGCATTTGACCTCTCTGGGCCTCAGTCTTTCTCATCTGCCAAATGGGGAGAAACCGTCTCTGCCCCAGCCATCTCTGGGAGTGGCTGAGAGGATCAAAGGATAAAAACAAAGAGGAAAGCGGTTGGAAAAACCTCAAACCTCATACAAATACATGTGCCGTTATTTTTAACCCACAAGCATTAACCATCCCTCCCACACTAACAACACAGCCACCCCCCTGATATGTTGCATGACTTATTTGCAGAAATGACTCAATGTGAGACTATTTTAGGGCAGAAAATACACTTACATATATTTAGAACTTTCCTGATGCTGGAACGAAAACTTTGAAGAACGTCCAGCTCAGAAGCCCTGCCTGCCAGTACACGCAGTGTCTTTTTTTGTCTTTTGCACTCGGATTTGTTTGCGGGGTGTCGTTTTGTTTTGGTTTGGGTGTTGGGCTTTTGTTGGGGGGGGTTGTTTTGTTTTCTGGTCTTGGGATTTTGTTTTGTTTTATGTTTTGTTTGTTTGTTGTTGTTTTTCTTTGCCTGAAAACAACACTTCCCACTTTTGGAGGAGAACAGGGAGACTGGATCTTTCTTTGAAGTCTCAAGGCTCCCGAGCCTCTCATGCTGAGGTCTGCGTCCCAGTGACATCTTCCTTCCCCTTCAATCCCCTTCAGAAGAGTTTAATAAAAAATTCAATCTCTTTTCATGCCATGTCTCAGTGCTAGAATGTTTTCCACATTTCCTTGAAATGGGAAATGTGACAGCTCCTTGAAACGTCCAAGGTCCATAACTTGATGGAGAGAGAGCATTGAACGGGAGTTGTCTGGCACAATCCAGGAAAACTTTCTAGGGTGGTGTAACTGTTCCACAACTGTACTATCCAATATGGCAGCCACTAGCCACATGTGGCTCCTGATTAACACATGACTAGTACAAGCGAGGAACAGAATACTTAACTGTGTTTCTTTTGAATCCATTAAACTTTATGTTTCAGTAAATACCCAGAGCTACCATAGCGGGCAGCACAAGTTAGTTCTTAGCTGACTGACTAAGACTGACTTAGCTCCTGGCTACTCAGACTGAGGTCTGGGGACTGGCAACATTGGCATCTCTTGGGTACTTCTTAGAAATGCAGAACCTCACACCCTGCCCAGATACACTGAATCAGAATCTGCCCTTTAGCAGCATCCCAGAAGGATTTGTGTGCTCATCACAATTTGGCAAGCCAAGAAGTGTGGTCTAATGGTTAGGGGATGGTCTGTTCTATTTGTGACTTTTTTTCCCATTAAATCATTTTGACCATCTTGCTCTCAAGATTCCTGAGTCGAGTGGGGTCAGAAACCTTTTAAATACAAGTAGTGTCATGTCCAGATGACTAGCTACCATCATGGTGGATGAAGGTAAGTTGATCCATTCTGGAAGAGTCCATAGAAGCCTTATGGCCTCAAAAAAAAAAGAAGAAGAAGACTTATGGTCTCAACATGTGAGAGAAAGTCCTAGAAACAGGACTGGTCATTTGAAGATCCTTTGGGGTGTCGACCTCAACAAGGGGTTCCAAGTCAGGACTCACAGGCTCTCTTCTGTTTTGGCAGGAGCTACAAGGTCCGATTCAATAGTGTTTCCTCATATTCTGACTCCCATAAATCATCAGGTGATGGGCCAGACCTCAGAGACAACTTCGAGAGTGCTGGACCCCTGGCAAACGTGAGGTGAGCAAGGATTGAGGGCATCAGGGAAGACATCTTGGTGGGCTGGATTCAGTTGCAAAGTGAGCTCTTTGTTAGGGGGTCTCCCTTCTATTTCCAGCCTTCTTCTGAATAACCAGCTGTATTCTCATTGTCTGGTGACTCCTCCCAACTGTTTAAGCACACTAGCTGGGCTCTCCTGTCACCTCTTCCTAAACATACTCTCAGAGCTCCATCGCCCAAATCTCAGCCCATCATCCTGTGTGCTGAAGGTTGTTAGTCCCTAGAAATTATTCAATGAGCTACGCTTCCCGGTGATATGTTTTACACCTGATAGAAGCTTCTGGAGGCATCCCTGCCATGTGCCAGTGGCTCTCAACCCTGCACACACATCAAAATCATCTGGAGATGTTTGCAATATACAAGTAACCAAGCCCCATTTCCAGAGATTCTGATGTAGTTCATCTAGAATTGGACCCAAGTATTGCCTTTTACTTTCTTAGTTTCCCAAGTGACTCTAATGTGCGGTCAGATGCAAAAAACGTGGACTCAACCCCATGTTTACCAAAGTACAGGGGTCACATACCAAGAGGTCATTTTAGGCAGGACACAGACAGATATTTTGTATTTCAACAGTTGTGAATTCAGTTCAACGAGAAAGAAGGAAAACTGGATGTCACATCCTTGGTTTTGCCGATGTTAGTTAACACAAGGCGAATGTAAGCCGAACATCTGGGCCTGGCTGCAAATCTTCCTGAACTTTGCTAACCGAAGCTTCTCATACCTGCTCACGGCAATGCTTGGTAGATGAATTCACATCACAGGAGTCCTAGATATTGAAGTTTTATGTCCAGCGGTGCCCTTTTTTTTTTAATTTTCAGTGTTCCAAGATTCATTGTTTATGCACCACACCCAGTGCTCCATGCAATTCGTGCCCTCCATAATACCCACCACCAGGCTCTCTCAACCCCCCCACCCCCCTCCAAAACCCTCAATTTGTTTCTCGGAGTCCACAGTCTCTCATGGTTCGTCTCCCCCTCCGATTTCCCCCAATTCACTTTTCTTTTCCTTCTCCTAATGTCCTCCGTGTTATTCCTTATGCTCCACAAGTAAGTGAAACCGTGTGATAATTGACTCTCTCTGCTTGACTTATTTCACTCAGCATAATCTCCTCCAGTCCCGTCCATGTTGATACAAAAGTTGGGTATTCATCCTTTCTGATGGCTGCATAATACTCCATTGTATATATGGACCACATCTTCTTTATCCATTCATCTGTTGAAGGGCATCTTGGCTCTTTCCACAGTTTGACAATTGTGACCATTGCTGCTATAAACATTGGGGTACATATGGCCCTTCTTTTCAGTACATCTGTATCTTTGGAGTAAATACCCAGTAGTGCAATTGCAGGATCATAGGATAGCTCTATTTTTAATTTCTTAAGGAATCTCTACATTGTTTTCCAGAGTGACTGCACCAACTTGCATCCCCACCAACAGTGTAAGAGTGTTCCCCTTCCTCCACATCCTCTCCAACACTTGTTTACTGTCTTCTTAATTCTGGCCATTCTAACTGGTGTAAGGTGGTATCTCAATGTGGTTTTGATTTGAATCTCCCTGATGGCTAATGATGAACATTTTTTCATGTGTCTGTTAGCCATTTGTATGTCTTCTTTGGAGAACAGTCTGTTCATGTCTTCTGCCCATTTTTTGACATGATTATCTATTTTGTGTGTGTTGAGTTTGAGGAGTTCTTTATAGATCGTGGATATCAGCCCTTTGTCTGTAGCAGTGCCCTTTTTCATAGATTTTATTTTTTTTAGAGCAGTTTTTCCCAGCAAAACTGAGAGGAATATACAGCAATTTCCCTTGTGCTCCCTTCCCAGCCGCTAACAAAAACAGCCTCCCCCACCACTACCATCTCCATCCAGAGTAGTACATTGGTACAATGGGTGAAACTACACCAACACATCATGAGTACACAAAATGCATAATTTATACAAGGGTTCACCCTTGGTGTTATTCGTTCCACAGGGTTTGACATCAGTGCATTGTTTTAGTTTTGACGTTGAACATCGGTTTTGTACTTTGACGGCCAGACCCACTTTTCCCATATTAAATCTATCACAGCTCAGGGCAGGCATTGGCAGACTGCAGCCCGCAGGTGCCTTCAGCCTGGCCATTGTGGACTCTTCCACAACCCGTGAGCTGGGAATGGTTTTTCGAGTGGAACATTTGCAACTCACTCGATGATAGGAAACATTACCGTTGAATCCCAATGAAGCAAAACGCTATCCCTCCCCCTCAAAAATGAGGGGGAGGGATACTGATGAGGATAGATCCTCATAAGTAGACATAGTACTAAAACACGATCCTCAGTAAATGTAACAAAAATGTTTTTTAATTTTTATTGTCAATAAAAATGTGCAGGAATTTGTTTTCTGTCTGTTACATAAGTATCTACATGATAGCTTCGATTTTGCTTCTTGGCCTAGAAACCTAAAAATATTTACTCTCTGGCCCCATGTATAAGCAGTTTGCTAGTTCCTGGTTTGGAGGCTTACAATAGGAAGTTTGAAATCATGAGGTGAAGATCGTGGTGGAAACGTGAGCCTAGGAAGTAACTGGGCTGCAGGTCCTCAGGTGTACCAGGAAATATACTAATGAATGAATCACCTGAGCCATCTGTTAGTGAACACAGGTGGGTTTGATAAGCTAGTGAGTACAAATTAAAAGCAAGTTAAACAGCAGTAATAAGGAAACAATAGTATCACTGGAAGTCGGTATGGCAGATGCCATGAACATGAATATTGCATGTTTGAGGAACAAGTGCCGTAACCACAAGTCATGACTGATGCTAGGAATTTCCGATCCCCACTGGGCTGAAGCTAAGGGGCATGGCTTGGGGCAAAAGTGCTCCTTCCCAGATGTTAACCTCTGCTAACCCTCACTTGATCTGTGAGATGCCTGGACCCATCTCAAGTGCATTCTCCAAAGACAGAGAGAATGGGAGTCCCTTCCCAGCTTCCCCTCCTCCTTCCCCGCATCCCCCATCTCAATCTTTAGCCAAATTGACCCCTTCATCCTAAACAAAGAGATTCAGACCCAGAGCCAGAGCCACCGTGAAATAACTTACAGAGCCCCACATCTGGGCTTGTCCGAGATGATAGTCTGCAGCAGAAAACTCCAACCCGGGAAAAAAGTGGGGTGCAGTGTTCCTGTCCCACTTACCAACCTGTCGCTCCGGTCCCAGTGAGGTCCAGACCCTGTAAGTGTGACATAAAGTGTCTCTAGGACAGCGAACTAGCAAGAGTGGCTGTCTGAGACACAGCCCTTCCCTTCTCATACTCAAGTCAAGGCAGCCCACCTTAACAGAGAGGAAAATCTCATTAACTGGACCCCCACTGATTCAAACACCCACATTCTTGGTGGTATCTAGGCAAAGAGGGTTTGCAACACAAATGAATTTTTTTTTTAAGATTTTTATTTATTTATTTGACAGAGATCACCAGTAGGCAGAGAGGCAGGCAGAGAGAGAGAGGAGGAAGCAGGCTCCCCACCAAGCAGGATCCCGATGCGGAGCTCGATCCCAGGACCCTAGAATCACGACCTGAGCCGAAGGCAGGGGCTTTAACCCACTGAGCCACCCAGGCGCCCCAACAACACAAATGAATTTCATAGACATCCCAAGAGGTGGAGCTGGCATATTGATAAACCTTTCATCCCCTTTTAGAAGAACCTGTTTATCCACCAACATTTGACGTGGGTTTTTTTTTTTTAAGTTTTTGTTTTTAATTCCAGTTTGTTAACATAGAACATTTGATGTGTTAATGACAAGTCCTTCTGATCTCCTCATTAATACAGGACCCTGAGGACTGCTGTATTATGACTTTCATTACCTTTGTACTTAAAACTCATCTGGTTGTGTCCATGATAGAATTCAAGCCTTCCCAAAAAAGTAGACTAATTTCTCTGGCTTAGAAAGGGACGCACGAGAAGTAAACCTATGGTTCTGGGTCATCAATATCCCTAACTCATCCTCCTTAGGACCACTGGGAATTTTCTCCTGGGGATGGTCGCAGCTAACAGAGAACTAGAAGGAGATAAGAAGAGGCCCCAGGGGCTCCCAGATTTTAAAATGGCCTTTCCGGGGCACCTGGGTGGCTCAGTGGGTTAAAGCCTCTACCTTCGGCTCAGGTCATCGTCCCGGGGTCCTGGGATCAAGCCCCACATCGGGCTCTCTACTCGGCAGGGAGCCTGTTTCCCTTCCTCTCTCTCTGCCTGCCTCTCTGCCTACTTGTGATCTCTGTCTGTCAAAGAAATAAATAAAATCTTTTTAAAAAAAAAAGAAAGAAAGAAAGAAAAAGAAAGAAAACTTTCTTCAGCTACTCCAGCCTAGAGAGTTCTCTTTCTCCTTAAAATAAATAAATAAATAAATAAATAAATAAATAAAAATAAAATGGCCTCCCCAGGTGGGCTTAGGGACATCTGATCACCATGGGCTTAAACACAGTCCTTCTAGAGATAACCAAATGTCTTAGTCTGCTCAGGCTGCCATAACCAGAATACCAGACTGTATGGCTTCAACAACAGATACTTATTTTCTCACAGTTCTAGAGGCTGGAAGTCCAAGATCAAGGTGCCAGTAGGATTGGTTTCTGGCGAGGCCTCTTTTCCTGGCTTGCAGATGGCCACCATCTTGCTGTGCCCTCACATGGCCTCTCTTTTCTCCACCGTCAGAGTGAGAGAGTGCTATCAGTATCTCTTCTGCTTCTTCTAAGCACACTGGTCCTATTGGACTAGGGCCCAACCTTATGACACCATTTAACCTCAGTTACCACCTTAAAGGTGCCATCTCCAAATACAACCACAATTGGGGGTTAGGATTTCAACATATGAATTTGGGGAGGGGGACACAGTGTCCATGATACCAGATACCCTCTCACGCCCCACAGTCCCCTAACACGGACCTTTTGTTGTCTCCTTGGCAGGTTCTCTGTGTTTGGCCTTGGCTCCCGGGCTTACCCTCACTTCTGCGCCTTTGGACATGCCGTGGACACCCTCTTGGAGGAGCTGGGAGGAGAGAGAATCCTGAAGATGAGGGAAGGGGATGAGCTCTGTGGGCAAGAAGAGGCTTTTAGGACCTGGGCCAAGAAGGTCTTCAAGGTAACCACCGGCCCAGATCTAGGAGATCTAAGGGGAGAATTCACGACCCACCCTCAAGACCTCCAAAAACAGAGTACCGACACCATCAAAAATAGAAGAAACTTGAGAGAACCCCCAGCATTTCCCTCATGTATCCAGCCAGGATACTGCTGTCAACAACTCAGATGGGTTTAGATGGTCTTAAAACACACATTCTGCACCCAGAATCTAACCCCCTGCATTATGGTTAGAGACTTAATCTATAAAAAGAAAATTATAGTCTTGGGATTTCAGAGCTGGGAGGAATCCATCCCTCCCTTGCATTTGGTAGACAGGTAGGCCAAAAACATAAAGTTGGGTAGCCACACCGGGGGCCATGCCTCATCCTGGAGCTCAGGTCTCCGATTTGTCTACTTGGACAAGCTTCTCCCTCTTGTGCTAGATCTTTGCTGACCAATATGGGAGCCACTAGCCCTGTGTGCTATTATTTTTTTTTTAAGATTTTATTTATTTGACAGAGAGTAGGCAGAGAGGCAGGCAGAGAGAGAGGAGGAAGCAGGCTCCCCACCGAGCAGAGAGCCCAATGCGGGGCTCAATCCCAGAACACTGGGATCACGACCCGAGCCAAAGGCAGAGGCTTTAACCCACTGAGCCACCCAGGCGCCCCAACCCGTGTGCAATTTAAATGTCAGTATTCATGAATTCACATTCAACAGGATGAATGAACAAGTGAACATGGTATGTCTAGATAATGGAATATGATTCAGCCATGAAAAGAATGAAACATTGACACCTGCTACACCACAGATGAGCCTTGCAAACCTGCAGAGTGAAAGAGGATAGGCACAAAAGTTCTATGCTCCCATTTATAGGAAATGTCCAGGACAGGCAAATGCATACAGAGATTAGATTTCTGGTTGCCTAGGCTCTGGAGGAATGGAAAATGGAATGATTACTGATGGGTAAAGGGCTTCTCCTGGGAGGACGAGAATGTTCCGGAACTGGATAGCAGTGGTGGTTGCACTCTCCCTCTCTCCACACACTAAAAACCATGGAATTGTACATTTTAGTACATTTTAAAATGATGAATTTTATATTGCATGAAAAATGTCTGTGTATATATACATAGAAATAATTAAATGTTTAATTATAATATAAAATACTGTATATTATGACAGAAATATTATATATCGCATATTTGCATGAATATATTTATCTTACATAAAATAATTACTTATTTATACAGTATACTTATTTATACTTATATTTTATACACAATAATGGATGTATAAAATTTTAATCATTTTTAATTAGTTTTTAATTCTACTTAGTATCTATAGTAAATAGATTCTACTTAAAGAGCCCATTCCTTGGCTGCATATTTTACATACTCAGTAGTCCAAGAAGCTAGTGGTCATCCCAGGAGACAGCACAGAACATTCCTATCATGATAGAACATCCTATTGGATGGCGCAATTCTAGACATATGAGGTCACAGGAGAATAATGAACAATGGCCTTCTAGCTGCATGGGGGACATGATTCGATTGGCTATCCTGGAAAAAACAAAGAGCCATGAATGCCGACCCCCCACCTCCACCTGCTCCTTCCTCCACGCCAGAATGCGTGGAGCCACATTCTCAAGCCTCCACAGGAGAAAGGACACCAGGCAACCTCCTGTCACTCCTTTGGCACTTCCCACCCTGCATGCAGAAGCAGATAGGGAGAAAAAGGGGAAACTGAGGCCCTGAGCTATCTGGATATCTGTGGGGGGAGGCTGTGTCCATCAGTCTGTTTCTGCATTTCTCCCTAGACAAGGAAAATGGCGATAACTTCTTCTGTTACCTTGAGGTCACTATGGTTCTTGACTTCGATCAGCCCACTTTGAGCACCCCAGAGGCAGGGCCTGTTACTAAGGCATTGTACCCTTTAGCTATCACCGCCCCCAACCCCATCCATCCTCCCACCAAACTCCTGGTCCTGGCAACCACTAACTGACTTTCTATCTCCGTAGCTTTGCCTCTCCTGGACGTTTCCTGTGAATGAAATCCTATAGTATGTGGTCTTTTCAAACTGGCTCATTTCGCACATTTTTAAGGTTCATCCACATTGTATTTATCAGTACTTCATTGATTTTTACGGCCACACAATCCTCTATTATATGTATATATCGTATTTTGTTTGTCCATTCATCAGTTGATGGATGTTTAGATTATCTGAAAATCGACACAAGGCCAAAAAGTGGTTAAAGCTACCCTTAAAAACCTCTTGAACTGGGTCAACTGGGTGGGTCCGTCAGTAAGCATCTGACTCTCGGTGGTGTCTCAGGTCATGATCTCAGGGTCATGGGACAGACCCCCACATCAGGCTCTGCACTCAGCATGGAGTCTGCTTGAGATTCTCTCTCTCCTCCTCCCTCTGCCTCTCCCCGCCCTGCTCACGTGCTCTGTCTCCCTAAAACAAAACAAAACAAAACAAAACAAAACAAAAACACTCTTGAATTATCCATGGCTTTTTTCCCAAAAACCTAAATTCCAAATGGTAATTCTTAGGATTACTAAAGTCAGAGAACTTATGAACTTGGCAAAAAAAAAAAAAAAAAAAAAAGAATAGAAATAGAAAAAAAGCAAAATTCATAGGGAGATGTTCAAACATTCAATATGTTCTGCTTTTAATGTGTTTAAATCTTTAGAATACGATAGCTAGGATGTTCTAAGGTGTCTATTTTCTTTTTTTTTTTTTAAAGAAAACTTATTTTTTAAAGATTTTTAGTTATTTGAAAGAGAGAGCACATGTGAGAGAGAGCACAAGTAGGGGAGAGGGCCAGAAGGAGAGAGAAAAGCAGACTCCTTCCTGAGCGAGGAGCCAGACACAAGGCTCAGTCCCAGGACCCTGGGATCATGACCTGAGCTGGAGTCAGATGCTTAACTGACTGAGTCACCCAGGTGCCCCAATTTTATTACTTGTTTGAGAGAGAGAGAACACAAGTGGAGGGTGGGGGCAGGGAGAGGGAGAAGCAGGCTCCCTGCTGAGTGCAGAGCCTGATGCTGGACTTGATCCCAGGACCCTAAGATCATGACCTGAGCCAAAGACAGATGCTTAATTGACCAAGTCACCCAAGTGCCCCTAAGGTGTTTATTTTCTTGCTTAATGTTAGGCCTCTGCAAATATTGGTTTTAGGAATAAATGACATAAAAGTTACATATTAAGTAGAGGGTAAATCTTTTTTTTTTAAAGATTTTTATTTATTTATTTGACAGACAGAGATCACAAGTAGGCAGAGAGGCAGGCAGAGAGGGGTGGGGAGAAGTAGGCTTCCTACTGAGCAGAGAGCCCTGATGCGGGGCTCAGTCCCAGGACCCTGAGATCATGACCTGAGCCAAAGGCAGAGTCCCAACCCACGGAGCCACCCAGGCACCCCTAGAGGTTAAATCTTAAAGTCATTAATTAGTAAAGCTGATATATCCAGCATATCAACAGCATTCAAAAAATATAGGATGGATTAGTGGATAGACTGATGGCTGGCCAGTACGTGGTGGGATGGATAGATGGGTGGATGGGTGGGTGAGTGGATAGAAAGAAGGAAGGAAGGAAGGAAGGAAGGAAGGAAGGAAGGAAAGGTATAGATGGAAGAATGGAAGGATGGATGGACAGATGGACAGATGGAAGGAAGGAGGGAAGGAAAGACGGATGAATGGTTGGATGGATAGAAGGGAATAAGAAAGGGAAAAGGGGGGAAGGAAGGGAGAGGAGAAGGGAAGGAGGGCAGGTAGGGGGAGGAATGGAGGGATAGAGGGATGAATGGATGGACGGGTAGATGGATGGATGGATGGATGGATGGATGGTTGGTTATATGAATGGATAGTTGGATGGATGGATAGATGGATGGATACATGCCATGCCTGGGAGGTCACTGAGAGCCCTGCATGTGCCACAGGCAGCCTGTGATGTGTTTTGTGTGGGAGACGATGTCAACATCGAGAAGGCCAACAACTCCCTCATCAGCAACGACCGCAGCTGGAAGAGGAACAAGTTCCGCCTCACCTACGTGGCCGAAGCTCCAGAACTTACACAAGGTACCTCTCCACGACCTCTGGGGGGCATGCAGGGCCCCCCATGCATGTGGGTTGGTGGAGAAAGGAGCCCTCACCCCCCGAAAGGTGCCACAAGAAGCTGGGTGTCATGGCTTCCATCTCTCTTCAGGGCAGTCCTCTGAAAATAAATACATGGCCAGTGCCCCACACCCAGCCGACCTGCGCCTGGATGTTTCTCCCTCCAGCAGTGCGGCACCATTACCCTGAAACTTCTTCTCAGCTCCGCTCAACTAGATTTGCCTTCCCTTCTCCATTATCCGCAGCCCTCCCCCCAACCCACCTAACTTCTTCTCTTTCATCTCTTCGCCTCACTCCAGAGGGGACAATGCAAGGGTGAAGAGAGGGTCAGGAGAAGCAGGAAGCTTTGTACTGGCCATGCTTTAACCCCATCTCAGGGAGACTGTCATTGTTCCCACCGCAGGTCTATCCAGTGTCCACAAAAAGCGGGTCTCGGCTGCTCGACTCCTCAGCCGTCAGAACCTTCAGAGCCCTAAATCCAGGTAGGAACACCTTGCTTGGCTCGGGGTTCCCCATCTGTGCTCCACATGCCCCCCCACCCTTGGGGAGGAGCCCTGGTTGACTCGGAGGCCTGGCTTCCCATGACCGTCCCAAGTGCCACTGAGATGCCCCTGCCGCTTTGTAGCATCAAGGTTTTCCCACCTTCCCTTTGCCAAGCCCCCTAGAGGGACCACGAGAGGACAGATCATCGTGGAAAGCAGAAAGAGAAAGGTTGTATGAGGAATTTTTAATCTAGACCACACCCTTGTCAAACTGCTAATGTTCATTGTACCAGAGCATCCTAGCCAGAGAATATTTCCTCCTTGTGGGTAGTTCTTCTCTAGAGTCCCGAAAACTGGCTACCCAGATACTGCTTAAATTCCTTTGGGATGACGGGAGGTTCATTACCTCACCAGACAGCCCACTCTGTGTTTCAGAGTCCTAACTGTTAGACATGATCTTGCTGTTGCTGTAACCAAAGGGCCTCTTCCTAGCTCTCTGCATTGATCTCAGTTATCCTCAGGTGACACCCAAAACAAACTCCGTTCTTCCAAATGAGAGACCTGCTGATAGCCAAGGACAAGGACCAGTCTCTCCTGGATTTTGATTTCTTCAAATTGTGCTTCCTAAGACCAGGTTTCCCAAGCCTTTCGCCTTAGTAAAAGGACGCGCTCTTGTCCTGCTGCCAGTGTCCTTCTCAGACCCGGTCACAGCGTACAGAGAACCTGTCACAGCTACCACGTGCACTGGGGCCATTAAAGCCCCCAGACCTGAGCAGGACACACTGATGCCGCCCGAGATCGTGGGTTTTGTCCTGGTGGCCATGCCGCTCTCCCATTTAGCTTACACCCTTGCTGCTGTGGTCAAAGTGAGTGAGCCAAGTCTCTCCATCTCTTGACTTCTGTAAATAAGATTTTTGGCCTTAATGAAGTCCTCTGCATTGATCCCTAGAGAATGGCATCTTTTTTCACATCCTGGTTATAGCCCATGTTGAGCTTTTGAAATCTTGATTCTTTAGTACGGAGAATGGGCTCGCAAGCTGGACAGGCCTGGGTTCTGACCCCTGTTCTGTCGCACACCAGCTGTGTGACCGCGGGCCTGTCACACAGGTCCTCCGAGCCCCGTCTCCTTATGCAGAACAAGAAGGGTAGCTCTACACATTGCTGACATTTCTCTAGTGTTTTCTGTGTGCCGAGCCCTGTTTTGTATCTCTCTCTGAGGAATCTCCCAGAACTCTTAACCAGCCCAGGACGTTGAGACTATTATCATCGAAGTTTTGGTTTTGGTCCCCCCCCACCCCGCCCCGCTAAAGATCAATTTATTTATTTTAGGCAGGGAGGGGCAGAAGGAAAGGGAGAGAGAGAGAATCTCAAGCAGACTCTCCACTGAGTTTAGAGTCCGATGTGGGGGTGATCCCACATTGATCCCACGACCATGACCTGAGCTGAAATCAAGAGTCGGTCGCTCAACTGACTGACTACCCAGGCGCCCCCATCATCAATGTTTTAAATATGAAAAGTGACAAGTAGATAATGCAAGTGACTTTATCAAGGTCACAGACTCAGTTCTCCAACTCCAAAGTCAGCATGCTGAATGGCTACCCAGGTGTCCTCAAGGCCATTGCAAAGCTGCTGTATTAACGACGAGGTGCACAAGGCAATTAGTGTCTCATACCTTCCCGTTACTCTTCCTTATCTGTCCCAGCTTCAAACACAAATTTAGTATGCATGTTTTCTGTGTGGACTTCAGACCTCTGATGGAGTTATCAGCAGGATGAAGCCCCCAAGCTCTCATGTACTCTCTTAGATCCTCCAACATTAAAGAAACAGGTTGGGAAATTAAACCCTTTGAATAATTTGTTATAGGCAACATTCAGGAACATAGGGATCTCTGATACAGAGAGGGACCTTGTGTTTGAAATACACATCCTTACTTCCCGTTTCTGCCCTGTGGAAAGGGATGACTTCAGTAGCATGGAAGAGAAGAGACTAAGAACCCATTGGAAATTTCCTTCAGCAACAAACCGTGAAAGACCAAATCACAAAAATTACTCCCTAAACCATGGTACATAAAAAGCAAGGTCCTTTGCAAATGTTCTGATGCTGACTTGGACCAAAGTCCCAGAATAACCCCCACTCACCTCTGGAAAGGGCAGCTCACTCTATGCTGAGTGACTTAGAAGAGACTGTTTCAACAGGGTTAGGGACGAGAACCTTGTATGAAAATCAGTCGTGAATTAGCACAAAAAGGATCAAGTTGTATGTAGGTATCTCTCTCCCTTTGGAAGCACACTCTGGAGCATGACCTATTTTCAGGCTTACTGCCATCTCCAGCTTTGTAAGTTGTTGGTTTGTTTTAAGGGATAATCGAGTAAAAAAAAAAAAAAAAAAAAAAAAAGCATCATATGCTTCCGTTTTCCCCCACCCAAGGCGGCCCAAAATTAGGCTGTTTGGGCCAGGAGGCCATAAGTGAGATGTCACAAATTACTCCCCGCCTCCCAGATCCTTAATTGCAAGCAAAGTGCTTACAAGGAAGTAAACAACCTCCTGAGGGTGATCCTTGCACAACCAAAGATAAAAGTGACCACAGTTATTGCCTGGCCAGGAAATACATTCTCTAGGTACACCAATTAACAAACAATACAGCAGGAAGTATAATGGAGTGGTAATGGGTGCGGTGAGTCCTGCATTTCAGAAGAAGGAGAAGTGCATGGTAGGCTTTAGAAAGGGAATGAGAGGAGGGACATCTAGGCAGAGGCTGGCAGGAGTGTAGGTGCAGAAGAGGTCCTGAGTGTTGGGGCATTGTGGACAGTGGTGGGATATTACAATGGACAGTTCTTGGTGGGGAAACTCTGGATTCTTACTGCTCCCTGGATGAAATTGCTTCTCTCCAGTCTTTCCCATTTCAACAGAAATCATCAACAGTTGTCTTAAGCCAAAACCTCAAGCATCTTCCTTGCCTCCTCTCCCTTCCTTACACTGCATGTCCAGCCCTCATCTTGTCCTCTGGGATTTGACTTTCAACTTCATCTCAGACCTACAGCTGCTGCCTTGAGCAAATCCATGTTCATTGATGGTATGAGTGGCTACAGTAGGCACTTACTTGTCTCCTTGTTTCTTGGCTTTTCTCTCAAAGATCCATTTCCAAGTAGTAGCTAGACCAATCTTGGAAAAACATAAATTGAATCCTGTCACTCCACAGCTTCATACCCTCCAGTGGCTTCCCACTGGATTGAAACCTCCAAACTTCTTGCCATGATGAGTCATGATGAATTCCTCATGATCTGGCCTCTGGCCACCATTCTGATCTCCTTCTTCAGCCCTGCCCCCCCCACATCTGTGTTGACCACTCTCCAAACATTCCAGCCTTATTTCCCTTCTCCATATATGCTACACCTTTTCTTACCCCAGGGCCTTTGCACATGCAAACACTCTTCCCAAACAGGTCTTTGCATGTCCCCTTTTTCTCATTGTTCAGATCTCTCCTCAAATGTCACATCACCTCAGAGATTCCCTGACCATCCTATCTGATGATTACTGGGCCTGCTGCCCCCAACCCATCAACACCCACCCATCCTTCTGGGACCTCTTTAAGTTGCTCCTCAGTGAAACTAGGACAGTCAATGAGAATGGGACCCCAGACCCATCACTGTCTCACCAGTGCCTAGAATAATGCCCAATACTCACTACAAATTTGCTGAATGAATGAAACTTACAATGTTACTCTTTTCATTAAAGAATGAGCATTAGCTATTTTTTTTTCCATTTGATGCTGAACATTAGCAGGCTCTTGTTTCATCCGTGAAACTGTCATTGAGCCACTGCCAAGCATACATGCATGTGCGTATGTGTGTCTGTGTCTGTCTGTTATGCTTCTGGAGTCTGGGATGGAGAGGCCCCAATGACTGCTACCTTCTCACACTGCCCTTTTTGCCCTTTCTCCTTCTCCCTATCCTTCTCAATGACCTTAATGTGTCCCAAGCGTAAACACACACACACACACACACACACACACACACACACAACTAACTTACAAAATTCTATACTTACAAACCCCCAGCAGAACTGAGACAACTGGTCTCCAAGTTAGTGCTACTGAGAAAGGGTGAGGGGAATCTGCTTCCCCCACAAGGCTTCAAAGACTAGCCCATCGGGGTGCTCCAAGGCCATACAGTCATTCATCCCTGGGAGGTCTCAGCAAGCCATGCCTGATCAGAGGCTTGCAACATCCCCTTGGTTAAATTCCCAGCACGGGCAGAGCCTGGGGCACCTGGCTTATCCGCCAGCTGCCTCCCCATTCCTGCCCCTTGTCTGCCTGACCACCGTATGCCATGTTCAAGAGAACTTGGGGGAATGGCTGTGAGCGTGAGACAGCTCAGCAAGTTCGGGTCTTCCACATTTCTATTTTGTACCGGCCAGAAGAACGGAGGCAAATATACTTCTGAAAGAAATCATGATGATCTGGGAGAAAGTGGGAATTGATGTGGGGCCCTTTCAAAGGCTTCCTGTGGTTGGCGCGGGAGGCTCCTTAATTAGCAGCCCCACAGCGCCCCTGCTGGCTGTCAGCCTCTGCTAAATTCCAACCCTGGCGCTGGCGGGAGCTGATGGTTGTCATTGCTCTCCAGGAACCAGGAATCTGCATGAGCTCAGATCAGAATCAGTCGTGTAAGTCTGCATAATTGACAAGATGGGTGCCCCAGAGACAGCAAAATCTGTCCAGGAAAGGAGAATGGGACCCCAGGACTTGACACCACCATTCCCAATGTCAGCCACCAATTTCCCCACCATACGAAGGACAGGGGTGCCTTGCCTTGCTTCGAGAAAATACTTGCAAAAAAGAAAATGTGCTAGCACAACTATTTTTAATAACGGTGGCTATTTGCAGCACAAAAGGGTTCTTGGGTGTGCCAGAGACTCCTTTATATAGCGAGTCCCATTGGTCTATTCAAGTGTTGATTTACATACCATGGAGAACGTAGAAACTTCATGTTGGATATGAAGTGTCTCTACCAAGAACCAGTTGGCAATGAAGATAAGCAGATCTAGGGGTGCCTGGGTGGCTCAGTTGGTGAAGTGACTGCCTTCGGCTCAGGTCATGATCCTGGAGTCCCGGCATCGAGTCCTACATCAGGCTCCCTGCTTGGCAAGGAGCCTGCTTCTCCCTCTGACCCTCCCCCTTCTCATTCTCTCTCTCTCAAATAAATAAAATCTAGAAAAGAAAATAAAAGATTCTGAAATGCCAGCGGAACCCAAAGAGGACAAAGAATCTGATTTACCAAAAGCGTAATCAGCTCCCAAGTTCTCAGGCATTGTGTAAAATGCAGTAGGTCTGTTCTAAAACCTTTTAAAGGACCGGAATGATCATAGTCTGAGAATTCATTCTGGTTGCCCTCCCTTAGCAGGGGCCCTTAATCCTGCCCTTAAAATACAAAAACCAGTGGAGAAGGGGAGGATCAGGCGGGACGTAAATCAGTTCCTCTGTGTGTTTTCTCCTTAGATCTCTCAAATTTATATGGGTGGATTTTTGCACAACGAAGACCAAATGTATGTTTCTCTTATGTGATAATATAAGGAGCCTGCTTCCCCCCCAACACACACACACATACTTTCAAAAGAGGGGACAGAGCTTGGGATTCCCAGGAGAGATGGCATGACGCAGACTGCAGACTCCACTGCCTTGGCCCCTAGTGGGGTCCTGATTCCTGGGAGAACCCCAGTTAGTACTGAAAACACAGTCTGTTCTGGCAACTGATGAACCCTGGGCGTCTGAGGTTCCTTCATCTAATAAATATTTCCTGAGGACCAGCTATGTGCTGTGACTATCCTATTTGCCAGAAAGAGAGCAGTGGACAAAACAGATTCCTTGCCCTGTGGAATTTACATTGTTCTGGAGGGTGGGTGGGGATGGGGGAGGGAGGGTCAGGAGGCAGGGGAAGGCAGACCACAAAGCACAGGATGATGGAAATTCCACAAGAAGGCAGATGCCGGTAAGTGCTATGGAGAAAGGTGGGTTTGGGAAGATAGAAAAGCAAGGAATCTGAGGACTGAACTGAACCCTGAGGGGCTCTGATGTCCAGAGTTTGGGGAGATGAGAAGGAACTGCCAAAGGAATGAAGATTGGGAGAGCTGGGGTGCTAGAACCCAGGAGAAGGGAGTTGAGGAGGAAGTGACCAGCCACATCCAGTGCTGGTTCCATGAGCAAGATGAATGCCATGACATTGGCATTGGATTTGCAGAGAAGCTCACGGGGGACCTGCTAAAAGCCATGGTGTGGAATGATGGGGATAGTGGTCTCTTGGCGTGGGCCTCATGGAGAACGGAAAGGAGGGGGATTTCAACCACAAAAAGAGACAAAGGAGTAAAGAAAGGAGGCAGTAGCTGGTGACTCTTCTCTGACTCTTCCCCACCTTTCCCTCCAGCCGATCAACCATCTTCGTGCGTCTGCACACCAACGGGAATCAGGAGCTGCAGTACCAGCCTGGGGACCACTTGGGCGTCTTCCCGGGCAACCGTGAGGACCTCGTGAATGCCCTGATCGAGCGGCTGGAGGACGCGCCCCCGGTCAATCAGCTGGTGAAGGTGGAGCTGCTGGAGGAGCGGAACACGGCTTTGGGTACCTATGGCAGGATGGGGTGCCCCGGTGTCTGGGGAAAAGGAGACCCATCCTTCTTCCCAGTTGCCAGTCCAGGTTGGGGAGAGTGGGTCTCTGTCACCTCCAATGAGGGTCTCTGTCACCTCCTGAGACTCCTCCTTTCTCATGGCTGAACCACCTTGGCCCAACTAGCTGACCCAGTGTCCGTGATGCTAGAACATCCATAGCATCCCTGGGGGAAGGGGCTTCTGCCCTCCTTCATCACCCCTGCCTCACTGCCGCCGATGTGTACCCCTCCCTCCTCTTAAAATCAAGAAGCACTACATGCAACTCGATGGTGCTCTCAAGGTTGAATCATCGTTAGATCAGGTTCCAGTTTGTTTTAGGGACCATCCTTGACCTTCCCATTGAAGAATTTTAAAGGCAGATAGGCCTCAGGGCTTCATTTCAGGAGGCACAGGTGAGCTCGGGGCTCAGGTACCAGTAACCATGGTGACCTTACCTGACAGCCCAAGACATGGTGACCTGTCACCTTCACAAAGGAGCTAGAGTGTATGGTCAGGGCAGAGTGTGGAAATAGCATGCGGTCAAAGCCCCACTGAAAAGTCCTTTGGGAGATACCACTTTGGGGAGATAATGCTTTATATTAATAAATCCAACCCAGCCAGTTCTTCCTTCGTGTTGGAGCAACACTTTTCATCTTGGATTGAGCCCCTGATAAAGCAGATACTGTGTGTAGGACTATATCCGATGGAAAATTATACGGGAGTATAGCGTAATAGTTAGAACAAGGTCTGGGGCAGGACTGCCTGATTTCACACTTATGAGCTGTGTGACCTTGGGCAGATTCCTTGACCTCTCTGTGCTTCCCTTTTTTCTCAGTTGCAAAGTGGGAATAATAATAGAATCCGCCACCTAGGATTGTTGTGCGGACTAAGTGAGTTAATAATATAAAGTGCTGAGAATAGCACTTGGCATATAGAAAGTGCTAGCAAAGTGTTAGGCATATTTGTCATCTTAAATGCTGGAATCCCACTTAGGGGTTTGAGAGGCCAACACCATGAGAGGGCAGACAGAACCAAAATAGACTCCTAGCTCGTGCTCAGTGGGGGGCTCACTGCATAAAATGCCAGAGACGGACCATCTCATGCTATTTTAGTGTTGGTTTATGTTTTTAATTTTTGAACTAATTTGCACAATTGATTTTGGATCTGCTCCTTGCGTGCATGAGGTGATCCCATGGTCCCGAGAAGCCTGGGTCTAGATGTGGGACATGGAAGGTGACAAGCCAAGGGATTGCTTGGCTCACCCGCCCCAGGAACAAATCCGGCCTTCCTGACTTAGGCCCAAGCCCTGGGAGCTCGGACTTTCCTCCCCCCATCCACGCCTATGTCCATTGTACCTCCATAGGAGTGATCAGTAACTGGACAGACGAGCACCGCCTCCCACCCTGCACCATCTTCCAGGCCTTCAAGTACTACCTGGACATCACCACGCCGCCGACGCCGCTGCAGCTGCAGCAGTTTGCCTCCCTGGCCACCAGCGAGAAGGAGAAGCAGCATCTGCTGGTCCTCAGCAAGGTGGGTCCCTGGCCTCCTACAACCCTCCCTACCCCCCCCACCCCCGCATCTTTCCCCTCCTGGTCCCTGGAGAGCGATATAGCTGTTACAACAGTTGTCCAGAAGATGGCAGTGTGGAACAAGAGTTGCTCGTTTGCTCGTTTTTCGTTTGCAGGTGGTCGCCATATTGGTTAGTCCATTTTGGCTTGTCCTCACCATCTCCCCTCATTCATTTTTTTTTTAAAGATTTTATTTATTTATTTGACAGACAGAGATCACAAGTAGGCAGAGAGGCAGGTAGAGAGAGAGAGGAAGGGAAGTAAGCTCTCTGCTGAGCAGAGAGCCCGATGTGGGGCTCAATCCCAGGACCCTGAGACCATGACCTGAGCTGAAGGCGGAGGCTTAACCCACTGAGCCATCCAGGCGCCCCCATCTCCCCTCATTCTAACCAAGGTCTGACAGAAAGAGGGTCACCCTGTTGAATCTCAGAGCTCTCTGGCCCGGTAGAGATTCCTTTTCTAATTCTTGTTCCTCCTTCCTTGGGAACTCCTGAGCTTCCCTTAGCTCCATCTGAGCCCATGCTTAACAGGAATAGAAAGAGAGAAGAATCCCACAGTGCCCTGTTTTAGAGAGAGGCCTTTCCCAACACCAAGGAGCTATTGGTAGGACCTGCAAGAGAGGAGGCCCTCAGATGGTAAAATGCATCAAACATCTCTACCATCCTTGCTTTGAAACCTAGGACTCACTTGCCCCAACCTGCCGCAAAATTTTGCTCAGTGTGATTCCTACCCAGGAGAACCACCCAGACTTCTCCCAGTGGGGGCTCCTCCCCGGTCACCCAGACTTCTCCCAGTGGGGGCTCCTCCCCGGTAAGCAAGCCATCAGCAAAGGATGGCTTAGCTTTCTTCTTCTGTCCAGGAGAGAGATGAATGATGGGCAGACAGGAAGGTACTAATTTCAAAGAATGTATATTACAGCTGGCCCTTGAACAATGTGGGAACTGGGGTGCTGACCCCCTGTGCAGTAGAAAATCTACATACAACTTTTGACAGCCCCAAAACGTAACCACTAATGTAGCCTACTGTTGACCAGAAGCCTTACCAATAACATAAACAATTGATTAACACATATTTTGCTTGTTTTATGTATGATTTACTATATTCTTACCATAAAGTAAGCTAGAGAAAAGAAACTGTTAAGAAAATCATAAGAAAGAGAAAATTCATTTACAGTCTTCTATTATATTCATCAAAAAAAAATTGCATGTAAGTGGACCCAACATGGGACCAAACCCATGTTGTTGGAGGGTTGGCTATATTTAGAAATGAGAAAACAGACGTGAAAAGGAACACTTAGAGACTTGTGATTAAGTAATTCACTCTGGGGAACTGGAAAAGATTGGAGAAGTGGAGCATTAATTTTCATCGTAAACTTCGCAGAATTGTTTATCTTTGTACATGATATACATGTATAACTTTAAAATTTTAATTGATGGGAGGGACCAGAGATTGCACTGTTTGCATGGACAATTTCAAGTAGAATTTGATAAACTGTACGTATTAGCCCATTTCTTCCAAAGAACAGAAACTCCAAGGTGGGATTAAATGAGCGAGGATTTTGATTAAGGGAAACACCCATGGGAGGGGGAAATGGGCAGGAGTCCAATAAGACGGAGAACCATCAGAGCTCCAACCAGTCTGACTCTGAGTGCAGGACAGGGAAGGATGTGTGAGTGGAAACATCTGGAGCTGCAGCCACAGCCTTAGGAAGGACCAGCATGGGTGAACCATGTCTGTTTCCCGTGGATGTCCATTTCAGAGGGCAGTTACTGAGGCTCTTGGCTGATGGCTCCCCTGCTGCTCGAAGTCAGTGAGGCTGGAGGTCTGGGAGGCACGTTCTCAAGGATGCCATACCCTATCAATAAGGCAAGAATGATCTTGAGGGACATGGAGGAAAGCTTTATTATACGGTACTTACAATAGGCTTTACTCCTCAAAATCTGAGCCTCTTACATGCAATCAGGGACTGACCAAAGCAGCTTCCAAGTAGGAAAACATAATTCCATAGCCCCAGAGAGTTCCTCTGTTCCCTGATAGCAGCTGGGTTTTGCTGGCCACAAACCCTGACTGTGGTCCTCCACACCCGAACCTGTTCCTTTGGGGCTGTCATTCACCATCTTGAACTTGACCTATGCTCTCTGCCGATGCATCTCCAGGTCTGCACACTCACAGGTCCCAGGTCTGCATTCCATACCGCCAAATCATGACTCTCTCCACAGTGCTTCTCTCTCGATGTTTGCACATGGCAGGACTGATTATGGTTAGGCACACACACCCCCTAGAGCAGGCGTCAGCAATCTTTTTCCATAAAGAGCCTGGTAGTAAATATTTTAAGCTCACGGTCCGTGAGGTCTGTATCACAACCCCTAAACTCCACCATTTATAACCCAACAACATAGATGTTACCTAAGTGAGTCGGCGTGGCTGGGTTCCAATCCAATCGTATTTGTAGGCACAGAAATTCAAATTTCATATCACATTCTTGTGTCATGAAATAGTATCCTTCTTTTGATCCTTTCCCCCAACAAACTGTGTAAAAACAGGTCTTAGCTCATGAGCCCTGCAAATAAGGTAGTAAGCCACATTGACCTTTTGCCACCCCCGACCTAGATTCAAACCCTGAATCACTGCCTCCAAGCCAAAGAGCCTCTGTAATTGTCAGTTTTCCCTGCTATAAAATAGGAACAACAGTCTTACTTATTGCATAAAGTCGTAAGAATTAAGACCTGGCACGGAGTTATTACTGTGTGAGTGTTAGGTATCCTTCCCTCTCTCGACTTTTTTTTTTTTTAAGATTTTATTTATTTATTTGACAGAGAGATCACAAGTATGCAGAGAGGCAGGCAGAGGCAGGGGGGAAGCAGGCTCCCCGCTGAGCAGAGAGCCCGACGCGGGACCCGATCCCAGGACCCTGAGATCATGACCTGAGCCGACGTCAGAGGCTTTAACACACTGAGCCACCCAGGCGCCCTCTCCCGACTTTCTTCCCCGGACGTTCTGTTGCCCCCACTGGAAATGTGTACCCAGAGCGGGTTGTAAGTTCTCCATCCCTCTCCTTGGCACAGGGTTTGCAGGAATATGAGGAATGGAAATGGGGCAAGAACCCCACCATCGTGGAGGTGCTGGAGGAGTTCCCATCCATCCAGATGCCGTCCACCCTTCTCCTGACCCAGCTGTCCCTGCTGCAGCCCCGCTACTATTCCATCAGCTCCTCCCCAGACATGTACCCCGATGAGGTGCACCTCACCGTGGCCATCGTCTCCTACCGCACCCGAGGTAGGCAGAGGCCCTGGGAGAGCCTCTGAGTCTGCATTTCCCCCTGGGGGCCTCTGCGGGGCTGCCATATCCCAAAGTCCTGAGAGGAGACCCACTTCGAGGCCAGGAACTGGGGGAAGGAAGCAGGGCAGGCAAACTGTCCCCTTAGAAAGAGCCAACCCTGTGCAGAATCAGGAAGGAGGGAAGATGTTCACTTGAAAGCTTCCTCTGCTCCCCAAGCCTGAGAGCGCTTTTACTCATCCCCTTATCCCTCCACCTGCAAGGCAACAACTAGATCAAGGCACCCCCACCCATCGCCCAGAGGGGGGGCGCTCTCTGCTGCATGCAGTCCCCCGGTTATAGGTCAGTCGGATACCCTAGCGTTTGTCTCCCATATTGTCCCTCCTTGATAAAGCAATTAGAATGCATGGTGCCTGAGGGAGCTCCAAGACCCGCATCCTGGACGGTCGCCGGGATCACATTGACCGAGACCTTCTCAGTAGGCGGGGTCTGAATCCAACCCACCGTCCCCCATGGGAATCCTGGGCAGTTTCTCGGGGTTTCACCATTCCCTCTTCCCCTTCAGAGGAAGGGATCCAGACAGGGAATTCCAAGGCAGAAACTTGGCATAGGGCTGTGAGCTTCCGCACCGGAGGGAGGGGGGAGCCAGTGGCGGGGAACCCTGGGGGCACTAGGCGCGCCAGACCACCCTGATTATTCTGTCAGATGGAGAAGGACCAATTCACCACGGCGTGTGCTCCTCCTGGCTCAACCGGATACAGGCTGACGAAGTAGTCCCGTGTTTCGTGAGAGGGTGAGTGGCAAATGCGGAGAAATGAGCAGTTGTCCCAAATCTGTGTACTCGTGAGCTGGGCTGGGTGGACCAGCCTCATGGGTTCTGGAGAGATGGCTGAGTCAGACGGAACGGAGATCGACACTCTGTATCCCTCCAAGCTGTTAAGTTAATAGGATCGCGGGATGGGCAACACAGCAACAACTAAGCAGGTACCCACCCCACCCCCGGCCCTGCCCCACGCAGTCAAAGTCAGGTCAATGCAATGAATATTTATCAAGTGCATGTGCTGTGCTAGAGGCTGGGGTACAGTAGACAACCTGGCAAATGCAGCATCCGCTTTCCTGGAATCTGCAGATGGGCGGAAATTCTCTCCGCTGTCTCCCAGCTACCCTATCTGTTCCCGCTATCTCGGAGATGAGACCTCATCCCATCAATCAGAGCTCTTCCTCCCAAACTCAGCTAGTTGGGTTTTGTTTTTGTTTTTGCTTTTGTTTTTGTTTTAAGATTTTATTTATTGGAGACAGAGCACGAGCAGGGTGAGGGGCAGAGAGAGAAGCAGACTCCCCGCTGAGCAAGAAGCATGATGCCGGGCTCGATCCCAGGACTCCAAGATCATGACCTGAGCTGAAGGCAGACACCACCCAGGCGTCCCCCCACTCAACCCCTGCCATCCAAACTCAGTTTTATTTTTTTTAAAGATTTTATTTATTTATTTGACAGAGATCACAAGTAGACGGAGAGGTAGGTGGGGGGGATGGGGGGAAGCAGGCTCCCCGCTGAGCAGAGAGCCCAATGCGGGGCTCAATCCCAGGACCCTGGGACCATGACCTGAGCCGAAGGCAGAGGCTTTAACCCACTGAGCCACTCAGGCGCCCCCCAAACTCAGTTTTAAAGGACACTCCTGCCTATGATGAACAGTGCTGTATCGTGCACTTAGAAATTTTGTGAAGAGGGTAGATTTCATTGAATGTGTCCTTACCGCCATCAGATAAAAAATACAGCTCAAATGTTTTTCACCCTGACGGCTCTGGCTGAGCCCGTGGGCCCCCTGGAGGGTCCTGCTATGTCAGCCAGTGACTTCTGTACCTCAGCAGTGGTCTTGACCACTGAGTTTTCTCAGCTGTTGAGACTGGGGTGTTGATGGGATGGTGCACCTGCGCTGAGCATCAGAATCTCCCACGGTGTCTCAAAAATGCAGTGTCCTGAGCCCAGACTCGCTCCGCTGCCCAGGACTCTGTACTTTTAACACTGCCTGGGGATTCTTCTGTACGCTGAAATCCGTTCCCCGATTTGGGGAGACCTTCACCGTGGGCTAAATCCACGGTTCTCAGTACAGGGCGGTGCTCCCCTTCAGGGCACACGTGGCAACACCCGCAGAGATTTTTGTCTCTGCTGCAGGGTGCTCCTGGCCTCTAGGAGGTGGAGACCCGGGGTGCTGCTTCGTAGCCTACAATGCACAGGACACCCCCACGGCAGAGAAGTGTGCAGCACCAAATGTTGTCAGCAGTCCTGAGGTCTGGAAATCCTGGGTTGAAACGATCCCACTGCCCTTTGTGGCTTAGCTCAGCAATGAGGAAAATTGGGAACTGGAATGGCAGCCAGACCCCGAGGACCTCCTGTTTTGGGAATTCCCCAAATCCGTGTGACCTGTCACCCCGATAAGGGGCACCCGACCCCAGCTGGAGAGTACAATCCTGCTGGATTATGGAGACGGCCATCTGGTCTACTGAAGACCCAGCCACCCTTCATCGGACTTGAGCACAGCAAGCCTTCTGATTCTCTCTTTCTTGTCCAGAGCACCCAGCTTCCACCTGCCCCAAAATCCCCAAGTGCCCTGCATCCTCATTGGCCCAGGCACTGGCATTGCCCCTTTCCGAAGCTTCTGGCAGCAACGGCAATTTGACATCCAACACAAAGGTGGGTGTTGCAATTCAGCAGCCCAGCGATGTCCACCCCGCCCAGGCAGCCCCACCTGTGTCTCAGCCACTCGGAGGAATGAGGGAGCTCTCTCTCCCCTGCTTCCTTCCCTGGCGGAGGGCAGGGGGCTCACAGTACTGACCTGACCCGGGGCTGAAGCTCATGGTTATGCTTCAAAGGACCTGTCCCAACCAGTCTCCCTCACAGCTTGTTCTAGGGCCCGAAATTCCATCCCCAGAAGACATTTCTTTGTTAAGATAGGACCCCTCTGCAAATTCAAGCAGCCCTAGGAGAGTAAACATTAAGCCTTATCAAATGTGTGTATGTTTATGGGATTGTCCCAAAGGCTATTATTCCAGAGCCGGCTTTGCTATGTGAGAGACACAACAGATCAACTTCAGGAGGAGAAAGAAACCCACAGCTGCGGTGAGCATTGGCCAGGGATTTGTTGAACGGCTAATAAATGCCAAGCACCGTTGTAGGTGTCAAGGGACAGCACTAGACAAGACAGACACACAGCAAGAAAAAAAAATCTACCCCATGGAGCAGTCATTCTGGCAGAATAGCTAACATCGATGAAGGAGTCACTGTATATTCACCGGGCTCTAATGTTTTAGGTCTCAGAGTAACCCTAGCAGGTAGATGCTGTGATAACTTGCGCTCTGTACCTGCGGAAATGGGCACATAGAAAGCCAAGTTCTCATCATCACACAGAGCTGGAATTTGAACCCGGCTCCACGGACTGGCCTTTCAGCACGACCCAGTAGCGGGGGGCTGCTAAGTAGCCATTGGGGCACCAGGAGGGATTGAGACCCAGAGAAAGGAGGTCTGCTAAAATCTGAACACCCTTCACCCTTCACCGACTTTGCTCGGTGTGAGCGGGTGCATGCGTGTGTAGACGTGGGTGTACGTGTGTGCAGATACATAACACCCTACTTGTCCCAGTGTTCGTGTGCTCTATCCCTGTGGTACGCGTGAAGGTTCCCAGCGCCCTCTCCTGGCTCCACCAGCCACCCACCCCCCCAAATCGGGTATCTGAGGAGCTGTGAGCAACGTGAGATCTTTCTGGTCCTCAGGAATGAGCCCCTGCCCCATGGTCCTGGTGTTCGGGTGCCGGCAATCCAAGACAGATCACATCTACAGGGAGGAGACTCTGCAGGCCAAGAACAAGGGGGTCTTCCGAGAACTTTACACAGCCTACTCCCGAGAGCCAGACAAACCAAAGGTAACTCCTGGCCGGTGCGCCGTCCCCGGCCCGCAGCCCCAGATACGCGCATGCGCACACATGCTGGTACACGCATGCGCATCCCACCCCCAGGCACCCCCTCACCTAGTCTGAATTCTCCTCCAGGGCGTCGCTCTGTACTTAAGGAAGCAGGAGCATAGAAATATCAGTTTAAAATATCTAACGGCCCATGTTATAGGATGCCACTTATGTGAACTATCCAGAACAGCCGACTCTGTAGAGACGAAGAGCAGATCTGGGGTTACCGGCGGCTGTGGCGACAGGGGAATGGGAATGACTGCTCCTAGGTACAGAATTTCCTTTTGGGGTGATGAATAAGTTCTAGGACCAGATAGGACGCTGGTTGCACAAGATAGTGGTGCACGAAATGCCACTAAATTGTTCACTTGAAAATGGTTGAATGGGGGACGCCTGGGTGGCTCAGTTGGTTGAGCAGCTGCCTTCGGCTCGGGTCATGATCCCAGTGT